GCTTCCTTAGATTGAGCAGAAAGCGACTTGAGAGCAGCAGCAGCCTCCGCCCTCACTGGCGCTTCATTACCTGATCCTAATAACTTGAGAAGCTGTTTTGTAATATCCGCAGTCAATACGCTGGAACAAACAGAGGCGTCCTCCATCATCATACACGCAAGAAGGAAACAGACATTAGATAGTGTACTTGACTGCCCGCTTGCAAGCAGCTTCACAAGTACATCCACTCCCCCAGCTCGAATTGTCTCAGACCAAAATCCCTCTGTGGTGCTAGAAAGATTCTTAAGTGCACCAGTTAACAAACCATCAACTTCTCCTTTCTTATTTCCACTGCGCAATTGGTCCCAGAGAACCGGTACGACTCCCTCAGTGGAAAATATTTTTGATCCAACATGGTCTTTCACCCCACCTTCAGAAACAGCATAGATTGTTTTTGCTGCAGCGATCTGCCCTTCAACTGAACTGGATTTGAGAAGGCCAAGCAATGGCGGAATGCATCCACCAAGTAACACTTTAACTCTCAGTTCGTTCTCCTTGCAGAGAGAACCCAAGACGGTTGCAGCTTGTATCTTCACTCCAAGTGACCCTGACCGGAGAAGAGAGACAAGTACTGGCACAGCTTGGGAGTGTGATCCAACAGCGCTGAATGCATTTTCGCGCATTTCTATAAGGTCCAGTAATTGCTTCAGGCAATATTCTCTTTCTTGTGCAGATGATGAACCTTGGCGCAGCTGCTCAATGCATTGGGCAACACTTGCTAATGTCCCATCTGGATCTTCCATGCTGGTGGTTCGGTCTCTGCAGGTGATAAGAAAGTGTTAGTTACGAAGTCGCTAATAGGTGTGCCTTTCTACTTAAAATATTTTATTTGAAATATTAACATAGGAAACCAATCCACATAATATTGATTTTCAAAGGCATCGTTAAACCAAGATTGTGGTGCAACAAATCCTGAAAAGGCCTCGATTTTATCACACTGATTGGCTTCCATGCAACACCAAATACATAAATATGTCTAACCTCAAACTCATCTTTGTGGTTGAATGTGGCGTTGGGGGCTCTGAATCTTGCATCTTCATATCCCCATTTCTCTCCTGCAGTCAAGACCAGCCAACACAAAATAAGTTAAAATGGAAATTTTCCTGCAAAAGACTATCATCTTTGTCATGACGCTCTGTAAGATATAACTGATTGGTACAAAGCGTTTTATTCATTTCACAGTTGATTTAACGTCCATTGGGTCAGGTTTTGGTTGTAAAGAAGGAAACTTTATGACATTTCTACAGTAAAACGAAACAAGAAGGACGCAGTAAAGAGATACGCAGACACGTGAAATAATAGAACACAAGTTTACTCACAAGATACCATTTAAAGGAAAAAGCACCACTGAATTAATCAACAATGGGCTCAGCTCAAGTACAATTCTAAATCTGATTCAAACTCAAGGAATATATCATCAGCTTAATCATCCTGCTAATAGACCAGAAAAGGAAACATCACAATAGAACAACTCAGATCCAATAAGATTACCGTCTCGCCTGGGGCAAGGCCATTCCCATTACTGGAAGGAAATCTCCATCCAAGTGCACTTGTCATATCTTTATATTTCACTTCACTTCAAGATTCTCAAATCAAAATTAGACCTTGCCCCTACCCAGATCTACCCAAACCAGATCGTCAGAACATCAACCTCCCCCCTGCAAACAGAGATCAGACGAAAACAGAACATAAAGATCCAGACAAAGTACCCAATGACACACTTGAAAGTAAATGCAACTATAGGTGATGACTATGAGAAGTCTCCAAAGATGACTCTACCTAACTGAATTATACTGTTTAAGTCTATAAGCAACTGAGAAAACCACACGATCCGAATCGATTCGAGCTAAACTAAATGAGGAAACTTTTGCATCAATACGAACTCAAAAAGCAAGATTCAGATCGGGGGTGGAATCAAAATTCACAATCGGATCTCTCATTGAAATCAAACACAAGAGATCCGATACCAAATCATGCAGGTAGGTTGCGAAATTGAACTGACCTAAATGGGAAAAATGCGAGAAGAAGAAGCAGAATCAGTTCTTCTGCATTTGTCTGTTTCGTAGAAGAGAAGCGAAGAAGACGAGAGAGAGATAGAGAGAGAGAGAGAGGTTTCTACTTCTTCTTCTTCGTCTGTAATTTTTGACTCAACAAAGTATAAAGCGGAGGAGAGAGAGAGAGAGAAGGAGAGAGCTGTGTGTGGGCTGGTGAGAGAGAGAGAGAGAGAGAGAGAGAGAGAGAGAGAGAGAGAGTGTGTGTGTGATTGGATTAGAGCCGGCTTTGTCCACCGACAAAGAGTGGATTTAACTTAAACGGCTTTGTGTCGGCTCAGCTCGGCTACAGAACTAAACGAGTCATGTACAGCGAATATACAACTTATTTATTAAATATTTCTTTAATCAAAATTAATTACGAAATTGACTTACCTGAATTTATTTGAAACTTTTTTCCTCACGCCAAAAATATTTTTTAATTTCTTCATTAAATAATTTTAGAAATCACTTTTTTCACTGAAAATACTACATTGATGAAGATAAGTTTTGCTTTTTTAATGAAGAGAAAAATACATCATTAAAAGAAAATAAGACAATTATCAATTTCTTACAAAGATATGAGAATTTTTTTTTTATGACACATTAATACTACCATTCACAATGATCATATAAAAGAATTTTGTATAACTTGATACTAAAAATTAACGTCCAATATTTTTGACGATGATTCAAACACAAAATATGTTATTTTCCATAAATTTTTCTCATAATAACTAAATTTATCTTCAAAAAAATCATATAGTTCACTTCTATTCATATAATTTAAACAAAAAATTTACATTTTATAATAAAAATTCCGTTAAAAATTAATCTAGGCTCATGATGCCTTCCCGATTTATAAATGGTACAAGACGAAGTCATTATTATATACTATATATAGAATATTTGTTAAACGAAGGAAAAAAAAACATTTTTGGCAGCACATTTGTTTTTTTTATCCTATATTTTATTTTAGATTTAAATATTTATTCTATTGAAGATATGAAAAGTTATCTCTTACAAGATCAACTAGATATACTTTTAATTAAAATATTTATCAATCAACTAGATATACAATCCAAGAAATAATAATATCGGATTAATCAATTTTAATAAGAAAAAAATAAGTAAGGTTTGCAGTAGTTGTTACGGTCCTATATATATGTTGATTTGTTACCAAACTAGATTAATTAGTTCATTACGATGGTGATCACTGTTCGTAAAGGTATCTTACCACGAAATCTAATAAGAAAATTGTTAAAAACATTGTCAACATTTCAATTATAAACTTTGTGGCTTCCTTTGCATCTACACATTATTTTCCTTGACATGATATTTCATCTTGTCCAAAAAATGACAGCAACTTGTTTTGTCCGAAAGAAGAGCAAAAGCACATGTCCTCATGGCTTACAGGAATCAAAGATTCTACAGGTTTTTAAGTATTTTTGTTTTCTTTTAGCTCGACGCATGTTTTGTTTCTATCGACAACTATGCGCGCCCATATAAAAGCATATGATAAGCACAATTATGTTAACCATATGATGCACATGTGCTCTTCCCTTCTTAGCCAATTATGATCACAATACCATACAAGAAGAAGACTGGGAAACAAAAAAAAAAAAAAAATCATGTTCTTTAATTGATCCTTCTAAACACAATTTGATGCCTCCACTTTCTTGAAACCGTATAAAACCCTAGGAAACTAGAAATCTTATTGGTTTTAGAGGCATGCTCGAAATTTGAAGAATACTTACCTATTTCTGCAATATTAGATTGAGCATTGCATTAGTTAGCTCCAAAACAAAAACATTCCATATCTTGGTTATCGTTTTTCTAATAATTTTTCTCAAAACTTGGCCACTAGCACTTACAATATGTTTAAGTAGATCATGTTTAAATACTCCAATCAACACATAACCGTCGCAAAGTTTATGTATGAAAGATATATATTATTTTTTTGTCAACGTATGAAAGATATATTTACTATGGTAAAAAGAAAAGAAAAACTTAAAAATATTATAGATTATAAATTAAAGTATATGCATGTTTTGTTTGAATTATTTGTTTAGTTTAGTTTTCTTTATATTCGGATCATGTTCGACCATCCTATTTGCACATGCTAAACGAGAAGATTTTGCACATATCCATTTCAGTTACGTCTAAGCTAACTATATAAAACTGAATACACACAAACGTGATGCTCAAACTCAATAAGATCGCAGTTAGTTTAGGTCTAAATTAACAACACAAAACGGTACAAACAAGTTTAGAGCTAGGTAGGCACTTGGTTTGGTGTGTTTCAATAATTTTCCTCTTACTCCCTCCCTCTTTTGTTGTAATGTATTCAGGTGTGACTCATATAGGAGGCACTGCAGTTTGTAATCGGTATCGATTAAGAGGAATAAAGGTATGTGTTAAAAAAAAAAAAAAAAAAAAAAAGTTTAGAGCTAGGTTAGGTCTGATTAACAACACAAAACGGTACAAATTTAAAAAGTTTAGCGAATAGAGAAACGGTAAACACTAAGGTAAATAGTTTAAAAAACAATACAAAATAACGAGTACCATAAGAGTGTTACATATATATATTGAGAGTATTTTTTTTTGTGTAATCGCTTTTCTATCGTTTTTATGATTGGTTATTACGAAAACGATTCATTTTGTACTGCTGCGATACATATTTATCAATTACAACCATTACTTTCTTCTTGATATATATATACATCTCCATCTTTACTTTTAGCCGCAAATGTTCCATACGACAGGGAACAAGACAGTGTTCTTGAATTAGAAAACAATACGCTAACCCATGTCTAGTTATAACAAGGTTCCACTGAACTCAAACAATTTGACTATATGTCTTAATCCGACCACTCGTGTTTTACGCAACCTTCACAAACTTCATAGAAAAAAAGTTTGCCAAAAACCAAAAACAAAAATTATCTTAAAATTACGATTGTCATTACAGAAATATCTTACAACATGTTGATTGAAAAGTACGAAAATATACAAATTATTGTGATACAAATTTGATATTAAAACAAATGAAACACAAATTACGTAACTTAAAAGACTAGACACAAAAGAGGACCACTTATATCACATCACATCAAATCAAATCACACACAAAAGACACATAAATTCAACTGAAAATAGAAAAAAAAAAAGAAAATATCTCCACACTTCAGTCATTCATTCATTCATTCTTGTCTTTCTACTACTCCAAAAGTCGTGGACGACGGAGAAGACTTAACCGGAAATATTCTGTTACCGGCGGAAGAAACACCACCGCCTTCACCACCGTCTACACCGCCTTCTCTCCTCTTCTCCAACTTCTTCTTCATCATCTTCTCCTTCTGTTTCTTCTGCATGACTTGTAGATGTGCGTAGTTTGCTCCCATCGAAGACATATTTGTTTCTTTCTTGTTATTTTATAAGTTATAGGTTAACTAAAATTATTGTTATTGTGAGACTTGAGACCAAAGAGAGAGAGAGAGAGACAGTGGTTTAAAAAGAAGAATGAAGTGAAGGATGAGTTTGGTAATGATGAAGAGAAGTGTGTCGTAATTTATAGAGAAACGACTCGTGGCTTTACGACCGTTGGTTATGATTTCCATTCTCATCATTATGCTTCTCCATGCTCCATTCTCTTTATCCCCTTTCTTTATTTTCTTTTCTTTAATTGATTAGTTCTCTGACCTTTGACCCATTTAGATTTAGCCCAATAGAATAAAAAGTTGAAAAAAAATATTAGTGTGTAACATTTGGTGTTTACATGGTAATCAACAACATTAACATATAACAACCCTCGTTCAACGTGGTTAAAACACATTATTAGCCTGACTCATAACTTTATCAACATTTTTTTTGTTACCCATTTATTTAATTACTGAAACCCTTAAAAAATTCTACATTGAGTGAAGAAAAATAAATTTTTATACGTTAGGAGACCCCAAAAAAAATTATGCCTTTCTATAAACCTTATCTAACCGAAAAAGGGAACATTAATCAAACTTATTAAGCTACAAGTTGGTTTACTTTTCGTTTCTTTTCTTCTAAAAACCAAAGAATTAATATATGTTTAGTCGTTCATGATAATGTAATTATTCCTAAGTGAGCAAAACAATGCATCGAGTTTTTTTTTTTTAAACTAATAAACATAGCTAGTTAGAAATATGTTTTTGTTCACATATAATGAAACAAGTGGGTGATAATTAAAACACACTAAAGTAATATCGAATTTAGAATGGAAGTGTTATCTAAATATGGTGGCCTTCGCTTTAAGGTCGGCTCTTAAGGCCTTATGCAAAAATATTAGTGTATAATAATATGAAGAAATTATAAAATGTGGATAAAAGTTTTCATCATTTTTGGTTTTAAAATTACCGACCATTGAGAGTATCCGAGTCCGACCAACGCGATATATGTATATGTGTGATTTGGAATCATCTTACTAGTTGTTTATGTACATGCAACTAATCTCTAATCTACTTGTGCTTTTCTCGTTTGGAATCACATTACTAGTTAGCATTTATTACTCCATAGTGAGAAGCATGCATCAAGAGTATGTATTTTTGTATATTTTTTTGTCATCAAGAGTTATCTAGAATTCAATAGTCGTGGTTTATTATTTGACAAGTTTTATGGCTATTAGATTTATCTGACTATTTAAAACCTAAATTTATGTTTGATGATATTTCCATACATGCATGCATATGAAAGGGGTAATTTGGATAATTTGGTTTTGGTTATTCAGATTTTTGGATACTTTATCCCACAACATTGAAATAGACCTATGTGACAAATATTAAATTTTTATAACTTCTATTTCAAAATTGGTTTGATTAAATAGCTACATTAAGAATATTCATTTGTTAATAGACTAATATATTCATTTGTTAATAGACTAATATATATCATTTCAGAAACAAACCAATTTCCGAATATTTCATATTCGATTTAAGTGATCCCATATGATCAACAAACAAAAAGGCTCGTGAATATTAAAATGGTACACAATTACGAACAATGGAAACTATATAACACATTAACACTAAAAGAAATTAAAAACAAAACTATATAATACACACACACACACATAATATATATATACATTATATATCTTTAACGAATGTGGTTTGAGCCACTAAGAGTGTACTTGCTTTAATTATATTATGAGCTTATTATAATACTAGGCACTATTTTGCTTCTAACTTCGGATTTAGGTATTGTAACAAGCAAAGCACTAAAAAAATAAGAAAACCAACTGTACATGACATTATTGTCCCGGATGTTTTAAGCGGCATAAGAAGCTGACGTCATCGAAATTAGGCAAGTTGTTAAACGAAGATAATTTTTTCATGAACGGGAAATCATCTACAATGGCGCACATGAATTTATGCCAATCATGTGGACTAGAAGTAAGCTACGAGAGCTAGATTTAGGTTATTTAGGGTTTGTGGTGAACTCCACAATATTAGATGAAACAGAGAGAACTAAACCCAGAGTTAGTAGCTACTAAACCCAAGTAGAACCTATAACTTTGATTTTAGTATAGCAAAACTAGTTAGTATAAAAACATATCATTTTAACGTAGATTATTTGAGTGAAAAAATATTCACTAAAACCTAGTTTAAGAAACTAATTAAACAACCCAATCAAAATTAGTCATGTCATTTAATTAAATAAATTAAAATAATTAATATTTATAAACCTAAAACAAAATTTAATTTATAAACTCCACAATCTAATTTTGTTTAATAACAAAATCTAAACTCTAAACACTATTTTATCAATCCAAAATTAGATATAATATCGTTTAATTACAAAATCTAAACCCTAACCACTATTTTATCAACCCAAACCAAAATATAATCTCGTTTAATTACAAAATCTAAATCCTAACCATTATTTTATCAAGCCAAACCAAAATATAATCTCGTTTAATCACAAAATCTAAACCCTAACTACTATTTTACGAACCCAAACCGAAATATAATTTTGTTTAATTACAGAATCTAAACCCCAACAACTATTTTATCAACCCAAACCAAAATATAATTTTGTTTATTTATAAAATCTAAACCCAAACCAAAATATAATTTTATTTATTTATAAAATTTAAACCCTAACTACTATTTTATCAACCCAAATTGAATGTAATTTTCTTAATAAAAATCTTACAAAAAGTTTTCCCTTAATTTGTTTTATTTTATTAATTTTAATTTTGATTTATTTTTAAACAGAAAATGATATGGCATATTATTAAATTTTGATTGATTAATTAAAAATAGATGAAAATCCAAGTATTTTTCAAGAAATAAATAGTATGGGAGATTGAACAGATTTGTGAAAGCAGAATGAGTTCTACTGTGTATTTTCTTTGCGTGGACATCATCTTTTCACAACAATTTTTTTTTTATATAACCCAAATAATTTTGAGTGTTTAATCAATTTTGTCGTATGTGGAAACTGGAAAATCATTAGTGTAACAAAACCATTAGTATCAACCATTGAGTATGAGTTGTATGATGTCATATATTAAGGATAATATAGTAATTTTCGAAAACCCAAGTACTTAAATCTGAAGTTTAGTAGGCACGGTACTTCTTTCCGAAAGGCATCCGTATTTCTATACTTTTTTTTGTAAATAACTCTTATATTATTATTGTATATATAAACAATATCAACTATAAGTAATAATTAAGTATACCCTAAATGCATTGTTAATTCAATCAAAGCAAAAACGACATAAACAAAAAGGTTTAAGCTATATACCACATTTGTTGTCAAAAAAAGCTATATACCACATTTCATAAATATTACTATAAAAATTAGGGAAGAGGACCGATATAGATAAGTCAGATAATGACTTATTGGCCACTAATCTCCCACCATATCATACAATATTATATATTTTGACTTTTATTTTAGTTATATAATGTATATTTAATAATTTTACTTTATTAACTAGTCTTAAAAAATTTCACAAATAAATAGATTTATACATATGCATGCATGCAGGATTGTCTGTTCCAACAAAAATTAAACGTATATGTATGTATGCATGCATATGTTTATCTGTAATAGATCTGTCTGAATTAGGTTACACATTCATACATCTATGTATTTAAACACATAAGTATATAACATGTTTATAGATTATGAAGTTGATAATCTATTTAAAGTATGGGTTAGTGCTAAACGGTGCTGTTACACATATTCTTTAGAGAAATGTTAATGACGATTGACTTAAATTATATAATTGGTGCTTGTGTGTGGTTCCAGATTTATGGTTGTTATTGTTTTGTTCTCTCTTTATGTCGAAGTGCTAAGAATTAAAAAGAGAGCACTCTGAATTTATTAACTTGGTGCCATTCGTTTTAGTTTTGTCAAATCAATGCCTTTTCCAAGAAAAATAACGAATTCATTGTTTGAATGTCCATATCATGCTAGTTTTAATGGTTACGTTGTTAATTTTAAAGGGTTCATATATCTTAAGTTAAGATGAACGGCCAGTTACAAAATGTGAAAATATTGAAAGAGTAGTGTTCTATTTCTAATGCAAGTTATAATTCTTTAATTTTCTAGGTTTATATCATCTCCTCAATACATATAAAACTAATGATGGCAATAGCCAATAGATATTATCTATATATAACAAACTAACTAACAGTTCTATAAATTATATTACTGGTATCCTTAACGAAATTTTGTGTTTGAGTAGGACAATGTAGAAGGAAGAAATACAAAGTTTCAAAGGTCATCGTGAAAACAATGGTAAACTATGAATATGCTTATGATTGTTTAATTTGTTGTTTATAGTAAAAGTTTGTTCCTTGAAGAGTAGTAGCTAGCTTACGTACGAAGAGTTTGGATCCAATTAGAAGAGAGTAGGGAGGGGACAATTTGTCCCAAGTTGACCCTAAAGGCCACACAAAACGAAACAACCAAACACCTCTGTCTTAATCTCTAGATTATTAATATTGTATTAATGAATTTGCGCTAGAATATTGAAATAGACAAGAAGTGGAACAAAATGAAAGAAACAAAACCAAAAGTGGAAAGAAAAAGTCATAAATTATTTAAAAATTGTTTCAACTATGTACTTAAACAAATATTATTTTTGCTAAATGGGTACAACATTTTCACCACTTTTTTAAAATTGTGATCCTACTACTTTCATAGTTTTATTCATCAAATTATTACTTTTATACAATTTAAATTGATTATGCCACATACTATGGACAGTATAAAAATTATAATTAGGAAGAAGAAACATTTATATTCTAGTTTATAGCAATTAAGTTATTTCTTAGAAACTTTATTCGTTTGAAATGTTTATGTTATTTGATCATTCAACAATTTCTGATGTGATAAATAGCTATGTTCAAAACAGTTTCAGCGATAAATTCTTAATCTTGGCAATAAAAATAGAAAAATATTTCAATATAAAATAGGTAATTCAATACTTTTGGCAATGGGGAAATTTTGGTTTTTTTTTTTTGGAACAGTCTAGTAATACATACGACTACACAAAAGAAAATAACATTTTTGGATATTTACCTATGTTAAAAGAAAAACAATAAAACCCGTTAGAAACAAACATTCAACACGAAGCTCAGTTCAACAACAGGAGAGATCTCCGACTCTATAAAGTTGAGGAGTCTTTTCTTTACAAACTAAGAAAGATCTAGTAGACCATTTTAACATTCAGAATCTTTAAACTGTGACTTCTCTCTCTCTCTCACCAACTTAGTCAGATGGATTTCTCTCTATGCAGTTGAAAAACTCTTCCATAGTTTCTTTCAATCACAAGCCATATAGTTTTCATAGAAGGCCAAGTGTCTTCAGCTGCTGGACATGCTCAGATGGTAAAGCCGGTGGCGACCATTCTGACCCTACCATTTCTCCATCGACATCCTCGACCACATACTCCTAAAAACACCAAATTAGAGAAAAACATTAACAGAACGTTAGAAACCAAAAAACGCTACAGAAAACCGTAAAAGGTTTATAAATTTCACCTTTGTTAGCATTCTTTTGGCGAGAATGTGGTAATGGCGCTGCCAAATGCGTTGTCCAACCATGGTTGCAACTAACACGCTATAGAATATACCGATAACTGTAAATAAACCGAGAATTACTAATGCCGTTATGAAGAGCAATGGCAATCCAGCATCCCCTGCACCTCCAAGGCAACCTCCACACTCACTAACTGCACTTGCACAGCCTTCAGTACATGCAGTGCAATCTGCCCACATACAAATTGTTCCTGGAAGATGGCAGTCCGTGCATATCCTGCATATCGAAATTATGTTTAATGAATAGATAAAGTCATCTCGAGCTGAAATATTTTCTACAATATACTTTTGTTGTGTTGCAGTTTGGCAGATAGCAAACTCTACGTATGATCTTAGTTTAGCATACAACAGAAGAGGATAAATTGAGTTATCTAGTTCCTAATCTGATTTCCCACTAACTTTTGTGTAACAGAACTCCTCTAGATTTTCCACAATTTATAGTCTCTGATATTGCTTATTCACACAGAAATCACCCGGGAACCAAGTTAGACAATAGCCCACATATTCAGGTAAGCAATTCTTATGACATTCTATCATGTGAACAAACAGTTCTAAACAGGAAAAATTCTGATAACTTTGTTTCTTAAACAAGAAAAAAATGGAAAACAAAAACCCAAAGAAAGTAGTTTTGAGGTTGTACCCAGGCTGACAGCAACAGAGACACAATTCACGGCAAGGCTGAGCTAAGTCATTGCGAACTCTTCGATCGTAGCAGGTAATGAAGCATCCAGATAGACCCAGCAGAGCAAAGAATAATAAAGCTCCTGAAAATAACAAACATCATCATGTAAATAAACTATACACATGTATTTCTAGAGTCACTTGGCACAAATTACTAATTACTTTAGTAATGTTCATGAAGAACTGTGTAAAATACAGAATTATGATTCTAAATTCTGATACACTTACTTCGGAAGTTCCTATTTAGTTCAAAATTCTACGAGATCCATAATTCTAACAGTATATGTCTATCGACTATCGTTATCAACCCCTTAACTTGATCTACGTCTAACGGATTACAAAACCTTGCTTCACTTCCTACTATGCAGAGGCATCCGATGAGATCATCTGAGAGCATACTCCTTACATAGGAATCCCAGATTCTGAGCAAAGCAAAACGCTAACTAGGACATTGTACAACAACAGACTTATCACTTCCATCTTACCACCTAAACTTGACAGAGGTCTTTTATGAAGATGATATATTATCTAGAGGATGATTTGGATATTTTAGTTTAAGATCATACCACACATGTAATAAAACGTGACCTCACTGTCAAAACCCCAAATATGACGAAGCCATGATTGCTGGTAACTATCTATGAAATAGACCATGTAAGCCAAGGCAGCAATCACCTGCGAGAAGATGAGTCATTTAGAGCACGTAAGTTAGATATATCACCAAATGAAAGAAAAGAAAGTACTGTAAGAAAAGAAATCACACATAAAAACTGAATACTTACAAGCTGAACAGCAAGAAATATGGATAAAATATCTCGAGTAACAAAGAAGCGAAACTTCAGTGTCCGCCATTTCCTATCTCCAGCACTATGAACTCTCAGATAATATGGAGCCTTGCAAGTAGTGCAGTGTGCAAACGCAAAACCTTCCTGCAATAAAACAAGTTTACTGGGCGTCAACATCTACTTTTCATTATCTTACCCTGACACTGACTAAAACACCACCACTCTTAATCATCACTCACAAAACATACATCAAGTCTAAAATTTTTACATCCAAAACCATCCTTCTTTAGCCTTCGAATGGTTTCATTATTTAACAAAACAGAATTTTACATCAAGAGGGAGGTTCCTTTTATGTTACCCTGACCATCCACCACTAATAACAACAACTAGTCAAAGAGTGAAAGCTAGCATTTACAGCTATCCAGTAACACTAGTGGCCAGCTACCAAGTATGGACCCAAGTTGAGCTAAAACGTATGGGAAAAAATGCACCTTTATAGCTCTCCAATGATCCAAGCAATCGCGATGTACATACTTTGATGTCCCTTTGCATTTGCATGGCGCAATGAAATCCCTACCTGACCATGATCAATAAATGAGCTTAAATCAACTAGTATCTTAGAGTCACTAGTCTCTTAACAAGAGTTTCATCACTAAAGACTAATCAAAATCACATAAGAACCATATACGATCTACCATCTGACTGTAAGAGTTTCTTAAGGTCAGTCATTCATGTCTAGTAGCACCACTAGTAAACCTAAAAGCATTCAGATTTTAATCCAATTTCATCATCCGAATTACAGAACTGATGTTATAAGATTCGAAATAACAAATCAGTAGCAAAAGCAACGAATCTAGCAGAGGGTTTTTGACGACATTACCATCAGTTTCAAGGCAGATTCGACACTGAATCTGTTCACCAGGTCCAGCTTCGAGATCTACCTCAGAAGGATCCACGATCGGCGACGGCGGAATCAACGGCGACAATTCCACTTCGTCCGCCATTCAATTTCGAAATCTGGGTAAAACCCACGAAATACCCAGAAAGAGAGATGAAGAAAGGAAAAAAAAAAATCGAAACTTTGAAGAACCCTGATCCCGATTTCGTTAACTTATCGTGTAATTTGGTTGGTGTTAGTTGCCGTTAAACAAGTATTGTGAAATTGACCCGTCACTCACCGGTTCTTCGCCGGCACATAGATACCAGAAATGATGATCCTTTTCTCCCCTTTTTCTATGTTTTGACCCTTTTGCCCTTAGCCATTAAAATTGGAAAAGACATTTAAAAAATGTCTGAGCCCGGGTTCGAACCGGGGACCTCTAGTGTGTGAGACTAGCGTGATAACCGACTACACCACCCAGACTTCATTGTTCGATTACTTATTTTATTATATATATTTGAATAGTGTGATGTTCTCTGGTCCACCCTATTTCAAAGGGGAGAGCTTTCTTCTAGATTCTGAGGTTTTTGTGGACACTGCCGTCAACGATGACGAAAGATAGAGAAGAACGTAAGAGGGAGAAGCAAGAGAAGAAGGAGAAAAAAGAGAAGAAAGAGAGGAAGGAGAAGAAGCGTCGCGAGGCTGAAGAGCTTGCCGTGAAGGAGAAGAAAATTTCGAAAAAGCATAAATCGAAATCCAAAGAGACAGAGAAGCCTGAGAAGTCCAAGAAGAAATCGAAGAAATACGAATCGGAAGAAGAGGAGAAATCTCCTAAGAAATCTAAGGAGAGCAAGAAGAAACACAAGAGGTCTGATGATTCCGAAGAAGAGCCAGAGACTCAAATCCTTGATTCGAAGCCCGTTACGGTCCCGATTGTTACCACTACCAATGAGTCGGATTCCGATTTTGAGTTCGATAAGGAAGATATCAAGAATCTGCTTGAATCTTACTCTAAGGAAGAGCTTATTAACCTAATTTACAAAACCGCTGAGAAAGGTTCTAAATTGATCTCAGCCGTGTTAGAATCGGCGGATAGAGATACCTCTCAGCGTAACATATTTGTGCGTGGTCTTGGATGGGACACGACGCATGAGAATCTCAAGGCGGCTCTTGAGGTTTATGGTGAGATAGAGGAGTGTTCTGTGGTTATGGATAAGGATACGGGAAGAGCTAAAGGTTATGGCTTTGTGTTGTTTAAGACGCGTAAAGGAGCCAGAGAGGCGTTGAGAAATCCGGAGAGGAGAATGTTTAATCGAACCGTGATTTGTAGTGTAGCTAAGCCGTATAATGCTGGAAAGTCTCGAGAACCAGTTGAATCTGTGAAGATTGATTTAACTCATACGGCTAATAATCAGAGTGAAGTGGCACTGCCTGGGATTGATATGGCTCACGGACATGGACTCGATAAGGGACATCAGCAGCAGCAGCAGCAGCAGAATATGCCAATGTATGCTGGACACAACATGCCCTTCTACGGACATGCTCAGCCTCCTGGTTTTAATCCCATGTATGGTGCAATGATGGGTAGTCAAGGTGCAATGATGGGTAATCAGATGGTTGCTGGTTTACCGAACTATCATATGTTTGGCTCGGGTATGATGAACCCTGGACCTATGGTGCCACCAAACCATATGGGAATGGCGGGGCAATATGTTGGTGATGGTAATGTTAGTGGTGTTGGTGTTAATGTTGGTGTTGGTGCTGGTGCTGGTGCTGGTGCTAGCGCTGGCTCTGGTGCTGGTGCTGGTTTTGATAATGAACGTGCTTGGTATCTGAGATAATAAGAGAGACCAAGTGGTATGACCCTCTTCTCTGATATTTTTGCTGTCTCCCTGATACTTCTGTGGTCTCTTTGATTAGATTTCAAGTTATAGATTAGGCTAATGATTAATCCGGTATCTTCAACTTGATATTTTGGAATTGCTGGAGATTTTTGAGTATCTTTATCTTCTATGCCTGCTGTTTCAAACGTTAACTTTTTTAGTTCCATTAATTCTGGTCTCTTTTAAGAAGGTGTTTATCCATATATGACCCATTATTCTGAGGGAAATGTGCATTTAAATGATTTCTCTTGTCCTTTGGAAGTTCCCAATTGGTTTTCTGCTCTGTTCTCATTTTGTCCAGAAGATACAGTTACTGTTGGTTACAAGTATTTTGCGGATCATGAAATTTTTGACGATCTTCTCTATCTAATGAATGTAAGGGGGAGTATGTTTTCTTTGGTTTTCCGCATTATGGTTATGTCTTCCTTCCTCTTTAGCATCAAACACACATCCTGTTTTTCTTCTGTGGCTCTGCGTATGGAGTTTTCTCTTCTTTTCCCGTTTGTGGTTTTATGTGTTCCTGTTCTACCATTTAATGTCTGGTCTCTATAGCTGGAGAAGAAGCTTATGACATTTATAGACTATATGTCATAACTGCCAAAAGTCTTTCTCTTCAACTGCATTGCCTTGAGACCCGTTTGTAGGATCAGACATTATGGTTTAACATTCTTGTTTGAAACTGTCTTGTCGAGTATTGCTAAAAGCCTAAAAGTTTTGAGACCCTTTTGAAAGCCTCCTGTTGATTTTCACTTTAATAAACTCGAGTTTTCTATCTCTCTTGCATTGTTTAATAACTTATAAAGCCTCCCAATCTCTTTCATCACATTCTTCTTTTTTTGTTGTCTTTCTCTTTTGTATTTGTGAGTGCATTTTCTCATTTTCAGTCGCCAAGTTTACTTGCCTAAGATTCAAGATTGTTTTGGTTTCATTGGACCTTCTACGCTGTTTTTGTTTTCGCCTATTTATTTTTCTTCTGGTTTTACCATCTTTTACTTACTGGGACAGTAGTAGAGAGTATAGCTCTGCTTGAGCATTGTAATTGAGACTTGAGACTTTGCCCATATTCTTTTAAACCGGATTTTCACAATGACCGATGCCCAGTCCCGGAATTGTTGGAGAAGATCAATCTTGTTTTCGGTTTTGTTTTGTGTCTTTCTCCTCCCCAATGTTTTTACCACTGCAGCTATCCATATGAATCTACCCGTATTCATCTATGGTATACTTCAGCTGTATCAACTTTTGTTTGGTTTGGCTTGGTTTTGAGAGTTTTTCATTGTTTTGTGATGAACAGTGAGTTTCTTCTCTTGTCTTTCGAGTGTGAGGGCTTTGTTTTTGGTATTGTTTTGTTTTTCTTTCTAATGTGGAACTCTCAAGATCTAAAAGAACAGAAACAAAACCCTCTTTAAGATCTCTGGTCCAAGAACGGATCATGTCTCTAGTTCCTCACTGATCCAAAAACCAAAAATCAACTTATATACGTAGTAGCGTTCACCAATCGCGATTAATTACTATTGAACCGCAAAATTGAACTCAAACGCGCGGTACCTGCGTCGTGAAAACCGTATATAAATAAATAGAAAGATAAGGCAAATCAAACCAATGAATGACGCGAGAAAATCAAAAAAATCAAAATCCCTAAAAAGCTTCAGACTTGCAATGGCGAAAACCCTAGACAAATCTAAGAAGCGCAAATTCGTGAAATCCAAATCCAAGAAAATAGATAAGAAGCAGAAGATTAGCGAGCAAGAACAACAACCTGAATCTTCGACGCCCTATTCAAGTTCAAGCTCCAGCTCTGATTCTAGCGATTCGGAATCAGAGAAGGAATTGGAATATGACCCGGAAGAGCTCCGGGACCTTCTACGACCTTATTCCAAAGAACAGCTCGTCGACCTTGTTTGTTCCGCCGCGCAGATCGGTTCCTCAATCTATTCCGCCGTTGTAGAAGCCGCAGACCGTGATGTCACACATAGGAAAATCTTTGTTTATGGTCTTCCATGGGAGACGACTCGCGAGACTCTTGTTGGAGTCTTTGAAGGATATGGAGAGATTGAAGAGTGTACCGTTGTTATAGATAAGGCTACTGGTAAGGCCAAAGGATTCGGATTTGTTATGTATAAGACTAGGAAAGGAGCTAGAGAAGCGCTTAAGGAACCTAGGAAGAGGATTCTTAATAGAACAGCGACCTGTCAGCTTGCTTCAATGGGACCTGCTGCGTCTGGAAAGGGGCATGATCAGTCTGGTCCGGTGAAGATTAGTTTAGGTTCGATGGGTAATCATGGCCAGCCCCAGCAGGCTCAAGGGCAACATGTGTTTAGCGCTGGTGGAATGGCTGCATCGCCTTTTATGCTAGGGAACCAATACAATCCGTATATTGGAACCGGGATGATGGGGAATCCAGCTTTAGTAGCAGCTGGGGGAGGATACATGTATCCGATGTTAGCGGGTGCTTTGGCTCATGGCGGAATGGGTTCTGATTTGTTACAGTCTAGTCAGATGGGTGGGATTGGTGAGCCAGGTGTTGGTGCTGCTGGTCTATCAGTTCCGGGCAACTACTTTAGAGGTCAGAGTCTACCTAATGCTTATCCTGATTCCGACACTGGGAAAAGAGGGGCGGGTAAAGATTCGGATGCTGGTGGCTCCTTTCAAGGCTACTCAAACTATTCATGGTACGCTAACTGTTAACTTTTTGTCTGTGCTCATATTTCTGGTTTGAATATCTTTGGATAAGCATACGTTGCATGATTCATACATAGTAGGTGCGAAGGTCCTTTCGCTTTTTGTTTAGATAGATATGGATAAGGCTTTGTAGTATCGTAATTTCAGCTGACATGATGACTCTCCAAATCTTTACTAGTTAATGTGTTGGCTTAAATGCCTAAATAAAGGCATTCCTAGGAGGAACTGCTACAGGAATGAAATACCTAGATTAGATCTTTAGGTAGGTTATCATTGTCATCTACTGCCTTAATTGTTATAAATGAATCTTGCTTGGATTCAGGATTAAATGGGTGGATAATGTGTCACACCAAGCTTTTGTTTTCTTTATTTTCCTCAGTTTTTTCGTTTGTTTTTCATTTTTGGTTTTTGTTTTCTGTTATTTCTTTACGTTTTTACAGTTTTGTTAGTACCCTTTGTTTTATCAAAGTTACTTTCTGTATTGGTTATGTAAGTTTGGTGATGGCTGGGACAAATGGTGTTAAAGTTTGGTTTGTTTCTTGGCGTATTGGTTTTAGTGCTGCACTTGGTTTTACCGTTTGATGATTCATGATCTCTCCCTTATTTGGTTTTACTGTTAACGTTTGAAATGGACCTGTAACACTTTAGCATCGAGCTGATCTTGCTGCTTCATTCATGGTTTTAGTCTCTCATGTTTGAGTTTTATTATTGTTTTTATGTTTGTCCCTTTGATTTCTTTTGTTTTCATTCTTCAGGGTCTTGCTCCTGTTTTGCATTTTGTTTTGTTTTTGGTCCTAAATGTTTTAATAAAGTTATGTTTGGTTTGTTTTCTTGAACTCCAACTTGCAGATGATGTGAGCTGAGCATGAGAATGAAAAACATGCAGTTCTGGGATTTCTTTTTTAACAGTTCTTTCTCCAATCTCCGTTTTTCTTCTGTTTCACTTTGTATTAACTTCCTGATATTTCTATTAGAACAGTAATTCTTAGTTTTTTCTTCCTTTTGTATTGTTTTTTCGTTCTTGTTTTCTTTTCCGTTTGGTTTCACTCTTGTCCGGTACCATTTGATACGACAGTCTATTAATATCATTGTGATTATTCGTTAAAGACCTCTGTTTAATCTCCATGGTAATGTGGCCTTCTTGTTCCTGAAGAGGTGACTTCCTTAATCATTGAGTTTACTTTTTATCACAATGGATTCTCAGATGGCCTGGCTTCGTTTTCATTTTTTATTGGCTTTGTTTGCATTATTCAACCAAAGTGATAGGACTCGCTTGGTAGGATTATAAGTTTCTTTTAAACATCTTTGATGGCTTAATTCGACTGTTGGCCCTTGAAGTTGTTATATAAATTTGATCATGACCTCATTGCTATGCATGTATGTATATTTATAATAATTGATGGGATAAAGAAAAGAAAGCTGGTGCCATCGGATCTGAAAATGGTTACAATAGACCTTTTTGGTTTATGGAACAACAAAGACACAGTCGAAGCTAAAGTTGATAATGATGACTTAAGATTCTTCCCTCTTCAGGTAAAAACAAAACAACCCCCATAACAAGTTTTAACTTTTGAATCTAAAATGTTAGAAGATAGAAGCAGTTGTTCACTTCTTCCTCTTCTTTGGTGGCTGAAGCGCTTCCTCATCATCTTCTTCCTCTTCCTCCTCCTCTAGCTCTGCCTCCTCATCGTCGTCTTCTTCACCACCATCTTCATTCTCGTCTTCATCCTCCTCATCATCGTCGTTCTCATGGTTATCATCATCGTCATCGTCACCGTCACCATCATCCCCTTCAGGTTCATCCTCATCATCATCATCTCCAGCTTCACCGTTCAAATCAGGATCACTTACAGATCCTTTCTTGGTCTCTTTTCCTTCACCATCATCCGCGCTTCCCTCTTCGTCATCTCCTCCATCAGCATCATCACCACCCTCATCATTGGTGTTTCCATTGCCTTCCACTGCATCAACCACCTCGTATCCATTCTCTATAACATCACCCTTCAAAATAGCCACCTGCAATTTGGAATTGACTTCATCACCACCAACCAAAAACAATCTTTTGTATCACATTGATATTTTACAAATCAATCAATACTAAGTTGCTACACAAGTTAACCTGAGTATTAAAATTTTGAAATTGGCCGACATACTAAATTGGGACATAGGCTTCTTCTAGACTAGAGATTTGGAAAACTTGGAAGCATAATCTATGGAATATACCTTTTTGATATTTTTTTTGGACCCACTATATTTACATTTATTTTTATAAAAAAGGTTATAAATAAAAAACTATATTTTCATATTCCCCATTAAACCAACCGTCCTCAACTAAATAGCTATTATCATATATACACACCTTCACAATATTTTCACCAAAAGCTTTAATTTAATTTACTTTTCCAACCACCACCCATTCTAAAGATGTAGTAACGCTTCAAGTCGGTCAAGATTAGTTTTTTTTTTTTTTGTGTGAAACGAGAATCAGCACATTAAGAAAACAAATAGGTTTTAATAAGTTGTTGGTTATATGCGACCGTGAAGTTAAAATAAGTTAGAAAAAATATGATTTGTAAGAGAGAAGAGAGAGTAAAAGCTTGCCTGAGCGAAGAGCTCTAACAAAGAGGAGAGCACAGTAGCCGTTAAAGCAAAAGCGGTGCACTTCAGCACTGAGGCGTTGACAAGAACCAGAGACAACCTCATCATACCTTGTTGTTCCAACTCCATTCTTTGTTAACTCTGTATTTTATCAGTTATGGAAACTGTTAGATCTGCAATGATAACAACAACAACAAAATAGAAATATTTAGAGAGCTTTCTTGTTCAGTTTCAGAATGGAAGCAAACAATTTCAGAGAGAAAAGAAACAAAACAAAAACCTCAAAAAAGAAAGAGAAAATGATATAAGAATCAGGAACAGAGGAAAGATTAAGGTCTGAGTATTTCACCATATACAAACAAAACAATAACTTAAGAACAGAAAGAAACAGAGACAAGAAGGAGAAGAACGTACCGGAGAAAGAGCTCTAAAACTAATATGAAGAAAAACAAAAAAGAAAGAAGAAAGAAACAGAGAGAGAGAGAGAGACTAGAAGAAATGAGCTCTGTTCATGAATGGAAGTGTTTTGATAATTGTGATCAAAGAAGAGTTGTTCAGAATCTCAGATATAGGAGAAGAAAGAGATGAATGAGAGATGAAAGAGAGAGAGAGAGTGAAGCTGCCCGTGGAGTTGTTTACTGCGAGAATCCCTTAGGGCAGAGCGGGCAGTGACTTTGTGTGATCATCTCTAAATGGACCTGCCACGTAAGCTAAACAAGTGTGGGCAATCTCTGTTTAGTCATACGTTTTATGCCGACCAAGATCTTCCCCTTCATCTATGTATAATATAGTCTAGTCAATGGTTAGTAATAAGAAAAGCTTTTGGTAACAAACAGAACCATATTCTCTCTTCTTCTTCTATACTTCTTTCTAATTGTTCCAATTCCATTTACTCTCTCTATCTCTCTCTTTCCTCTTTATGCTTTCCCAAAAACATCTCCATCGTTCATAATATCCTTCTCCTTTAGCACTAAAGACTCACATGCCATGTCATCTTATTCTAATGCTCAATAATTTATGATGATGATGATGGAACTTACATAGCAATATAACAAAATGAAAGAGGAAAGTTTTGTTGTTTACCCTTCAAAAAGGCCATACCTGAATCTATTGTACAATGGCTTGAGTTTGTAGTCCATATGAGAATTCTCGAGTCTTCCTTATTCTCACCAATAATCTCGGCAAGAACAAAACCCATCTTTGAAATGGTGAAACCTTGTTGTGTCTCTCACTATTATTTCCCTTCCCACAAGCTTGGAGATGAACTTTATAGCCGTATGGCAATCATTGCACACTCTGAGATTCTTCATGATCCTCAATGTGGTTTTATCTGGAGTGTTAATTAGCCCGAATGCGATTGCTAGTTTCTCGCTGTGGTGCCTTAGAATCTGTTCTTTAACCTCTTCTTCTAGGTCGTGTAGTACAGAAGCAGTGTCGGGAATATAACCCATTTTCTTGATCTCGTCCCACATCTTCTTCATTGTTATGTAGATCTCATTCTTCTGTGGGTGAACCCCGTCTTCAACGCCAAAGACATGGACTCTGTGCTTCACTTCAATCCAGCTAAACCCTTGTTCCTTCTTCACTCTTCCATCTTTCATGGATTTTCTTATCTTAGCAGCTTCTTCCCATTTTCCGCAAGCTGAGTACAAGTTAGCTAAGGCTGAGTATGCCCCGCTGTTCTCTGGCTCGATAAGAAGCAATCTCTCTGCTGCAACTTTCCCAAGATCAACGTTCTTGTGAACCCTGCAAGCAGAGAGCAGTGAACCCCATGTCACTACATCAGGCTCAATTGGCATCTTTTCGATGAACTCTTGTGCTTCCTGCAATAAACCAGCCCGTCCAAACAGGTCCACCATACAAGCATAGTGGCTAAGGGTAGGTTCAATCTTATATACATCTTTCATCATGTGGAAGTATTGACGGCCTTGGTTGACCAAACCAGCGTGAGTACAGGCAGAGAAAACACCAACATATGTTATGTGATCAGGTCTTAGCCCTTCCATCAGCATTGTCTCAAAGAGCTCGAGTGCTTCTTCTGCATGACCGTGTTGTGCCAATGCTATAATCATGGACGTCCAAGATACCGTATCTCTTTCACTGCGTATCAAATCAAATGCCCGCCATGCCGATGTAATGTTGCCCGCCTTTGCATACATTGTTATCAACGCGTTGCTGACAGAAACCGAATAAATTTCCCCTGACTTTACAGCATTCCCGTGAATTTGCTTTCCATGACCTAATGATGCCAAACTTGATGCTACGCTTAACATCGCTGCAAGAGTGTAACTGTTTGGTCTCTGCTCTCCTCCAACCATTGATCTGAAAAGGTTTATAGCTTCACAATACAAACCATGTTGCTCGTATCCAACAATCATGGCGGTCCATACTACTACATCGCGATCTCTCAACGAATCAAATATCATCTTGGCTTGAATCATATCCCCAAGCTTAATGTACCCATCAAGTAAAGCTGTGAAACCTTCAATCTTGAGATCTGCAGTTCCTCTTTGTTCGATCAGTCTCCGGGCAGTCTCAACCCCTCCACACCTCGAATACATTGAAATCAAGGCGTTTAACACAATTCCAGAGATATCAAATCCAGTTGTAACAATATGCGAATAAATCTGCTTCCCAATACAAAGTTTCTCAAGATTGGCACAGGCAGATAACACACTCGCCAAAGTGAATCTATCTGGTGACAACATAGAATCCCTCAGCATCTTCGAAAACATATCTAGAGCTCTGAGATCATATCCTCTCTGATTGTAACCAGAAATCATAGAATTCCAAGTGACTATATCGCGCTCAGCCATTTGCTCGAATTGCGCCATAGCTAGATCCATCTGACCGACCTGCATATGTAACGCAATCATAGCATTCCAACTTGAGATATCTCTAACCACCATTCTATCAAAAACAACTTTTGCCATCACTGGATCACCACATTTTGCATACATATTAAGCAAGGAATTCGACACGGAAACGTTACCACGAAGGCCAAGCTTAACGATGAAAGAATGAACCTTTTTACCTGTCTCCAAACAACGAGTTGCAGCAACCGAGGCAAGCACATTCGTAAGCGTAAACTGCGTAGGCTCAACCCCTTCCTTCATCATTTCCCCCATAATTCTTATAGCCTTGTGATATTGACCAACGTTCTTATACCCAACAACCATCGTAGTCCAAGAAACCGAATCCCTTTGAGGCAATCGATCAAAGAATTCACAAGTCGAATCCATATCTCCTCGTTTAGCATAAGCCGAAAGAACAATGTTCCATGAAAAAGCCGTTCTCAGAGGCATTTCATCGAACAACTTGCGTGCGTGAAGAGCATAACCAGTTTTTGAATAGACGTTCATTAGATTATTCATCAAGTAAACACTGAAAAAGAGACCCGATTTGATAACGCGACAATGAACCAGTTGCGCTGTGAAACGACCATTGGACTTGTTTACAGATTTTTGCAAGAGATTGGTGCAGAGTTCCAACAGAGTAGATAAAGAAAGTGGAACCGGAGAATTCATTGGAACTGTATAGATTATAACAAACATACAACTTCAAAAAAGCTCTTCTTGAGCTTTCAAATTTGGGTTGAATAAAAAATACTGTAAAGGTTACAACTTTGGGGAAAGAAGAAAGAAACCGTTAAACATGTTGCAATTAGCGGCAGACCAATCAAAAAATCGTTATTGTCATAATTTTAGTCTTTTTAGAAATTGCAGTATCTTTTGAATTATATATTTTAGAATATTGGACTATGTATCATACATTTTTCCTTGGTTTACAGGAAACAAATAAAAAAATTCATATATAATTTTCGAGAATTCTCTTATAATACTAGTAAAAAAGTATAGTTTTTTTTCTAAAAATACCACAAAACAAAATTATCTGTTTTAATATTCAAAACTAAATCATCAATCCTAAATACAAAACTTTTACTCTGCTCTCAAGGTGGAGAACCCTCCTTAAACCAATTTGATTTATAAACCAGTGTGATTTTTACTCAGGACATATGATATAGATATTTCATTGAATGAAGTTATGTTGGGGCAGACATGAAGAAGAGAATATGAGCATGTATTTGGCCAAAGTCCCGTACATTTTTTTATTTAAATTTAAATCAGAAAGACATAATAAGTGTGTAGGAACCTTCCTTATATTGGACGAAAGCTCCGTGTCCTTAAGCCAACGAAGGATGATTCCATTAGTTGAAGAACAAAACAACCTACTTGACTACTTCGCAAGTAATTATACTAGTTCTTAAGCCAACCTCACATGTTAAGGACAATTGATATTGGGACACCAATAAACTTGCTCTAAGAAACAGTTAAACAATGCAAAAAGGTACTAGCAACCGGAATTGTGGCGACAACACCAGACCAGTCAATCGTGCCATAAACAATATCTCCAACGCTTTCTAACGAGATCAGTCTACACCAAACCTCCTTCATGTAACCAATTATCTCATACCCTGGCCAAAAAACCGCTAGCTTTCCATCGTATTTCGACATTACAACGTTACAAAACTCGCCTTCAAGAGTCAGAACTTCATCACTAGTAACCAATCTTGTCCATGCATTGAGCTTTGTGTCAAACCACATTAACCCACCCGTCCTAAAATAAGCAAAGAGCACACTCTCTACCACACACACACAAATTGGTCTGTCACCTTTTCTCTCCATAGTCTTTCTTAATCTGCCTTCTCTCAGCTTGTAAAAACCGCCGATACGGTCTACCCCAAAATCCATTGCATGAACTTTCTTTTCCAGCGATTGCACTATCTCCTCGGATGCAAATTCCCAAGTTTGTGAATGATCCGGGTCAAACACTTCCACAACTTGGTTCTCATCTTCTCCAAAACATCTTCTGATCACGTAAATATTTCTGTCGACAACTCCCACGGCTGCTGTTTCGTGGGTGCATGCAACATTCATGCTTGGTCCTCGGGTTAACTTTCCAGAACGAGTATCAAGGATCCTTATAACTGACAAGGGTGTAAAGTATCCGCCAATGAAATATATCTTTGATCCCACCACGACAGTGGAAGAAGATGATATCATCTTGCAAGAAGGTAACGCAAGCGGGACCAACTGATACTGATCTGTCGTCGTCTCCTCGCTCCGACAGAGAGTGAACCATTGAAAGCTTACCCTTTCCTTGTTAAAGCAGTAGAGATAGATGGAGTCTTTGTACAAGAGAGATCGTAATCGGTGGAGCTCAGGCGAGAGCACAAGGGACCTCAAGCGTTTGGAGACGCAAGAGATGTTTCCGTAACAGCGCTCCGGCACTCGGACCAAACAGTTCAAAACTACATCGTCGGGCAACGAAAAAAGTGATGACATCGAAGCTTTTATCTTCTTGTGGTGTCTCGTCTGAGTTGGAGGCAGTTGAAATAAAACCTAATATATATGACATGACCGCCTTATATATATGAAGGTGGGGCTTATCCACGTTAATATATAAAATATTGTGAAAACACATACCTTGCGTTTTAATCAAACTTGGCATCACCAACCACTTTTACCCTACCTTGCGTTTTACGTCAAACCCCATCACATCAACCACCGATAACTATAACAAGCATAGAGCACATCATCAACAACGCACATACACCATAGTATGGGGATTTAGTCGATAATTATTTAGAATATTGATTTATCTTGATTATTTTATTTTTTCTCGTCAATTTTTTAATTTTTTTTTAGATCTATTAATTATTGCATATAATAAGACTGGTTACAAATATTTTAAATTAAATATTGTTTTCTTAAAATTTACTTGTTAACATAATTATCATATTTTAAATTAAATATTTAGAAATACCTTTTTAATGTTTGGGTTGACTAAAAAGAAAAAATAATCTATTATATTAAAATCTATTCATTATCTTCCTTTCTTTTTAAAAATTTTGAAATAATTTTTTTTGACTCAAATATATTCATCATCTTTTTGGTCAAAAAATGGAAGTACATATAAAAGAAATTAAATTAATGAATATATTTGACCCAAAAAAAAAGAAAGATAATGAATACATTTTGATAAAGTTTTTTTTTTGGTCTGAAATATAATTAAGCATCTATAAATCTAAAAATTGTCCGAACAGAAAAAAAAAAAAAAATCATTTGCGAAACCCTAGCAGCTATCGAAGTCCTCCGAAAAGGGAAAATGAATCAACATGCCGTGATTCTCGCAACGGCTAGCCATGATCATACCATCCGGTTATGGGAAGCCCAAACCGGTCGCTGTTACCTTGACTTTGACTACTATGATCCTGCTTTGGTGCCTCCTGATGCTTTGGTATGTGCTGCTCTCTCAACAACACTAATCTCTCTGCTGTGACACTTTTAATTTTTTATTTTTGTTACATTTCATCTGAAACTTTTGTTTTTGTATTCATCAGCATGTGAATATGCATGTGAATAGGCTTGAGATAACCCCAGACAGGCGTAGACTAGTAGCTGCTTGCAATCCTCACATACTACTCTTCGATCTCAATTCCATCGACCCTCATATACCTGTAATTATATATATCTTTCAATCTTGAATCTTGAATCTTGATTTGATGATGAATGATCTTGATGTTGTCTTTAATTACTTTGTGTGTATTAGGTGAGGACTTTTGTATCACACACCAACAATGTTGTGGCAGTAGGATTCCAGTATTCTGGAAACATGATGTATTCAGGATCAGAAGATGGCACTGTTAAGATCTGGGACTTGAGGTTAGTAGTAGTAGTATATTCATGTTTTGTTTAGCTCAATGCTGATTTTGATTATATAGTTCCATGATCTTAGCAACAAACTGCTGATATATATGTGCAGGGTTCGGGAATGCCAAAGGGAGTTTAGAAATGATTCACCAGTTAACACTGTTGTTTTACACCCAAATCAGGTTACATCAACTATTATATCCAAGTCATGTCATCTGTTACTGTTGTCTCTCACTTTTGTTATGTTTTTTTGTTGTTGTATAGACTGAATTGATATCTGGAGACCACAATGGTAATATACGTGTATGGGATCTCAGAGCAAATTCGTGTAGCTGCGAACTGGTTAGATTTTTATCCTTGGTAGCTAGGAACATTTTTGAGAATAAAGTAGATATAATCACTCTTGTGTATAACTTTATAGGTACCAGAAGTTGGTACACCTATACGTTCTTTAACGGTTAATTTGGATGGGACAATGGTTGTCGCAGCTAACAACCGTGGAACTTGTTATGTATGGCGCTCTTTGCGTGAAATACAAGTACTGTTTCTGATCATATGAAAACCATTTTTTCTCTTCAACCATTGTGTAATTGTTCATGCCATTTAACAATCCATCGTTCTATTCAGACAATGACCGAGTTTGAGCCCCTTCATAAGCTTCAAGCTCATAATGGCTACATCCTTAAATGTCTCCTCTCTCCTGGAAACAAGTAATCATGTCTTTCTTATTCTTTCTCTTGAAAACTTGTCTTCTTTCTTTATGGAAAGGTCTTATGTGTATTTGTTAGCAGATATCTAGCGACCGCATCATCTGACAAAACTGTCAAAATATGGAACGTTGATAATGGTTTCAAACTAGATAAAGTTTTAACAGGTATGGTCTCCATGTTTTTGGAATGGTTATTTTGTTCTCTAATACACTTTCTTACACTTCTCATCATCAATATAAATTTAACAGGACATCAAAGATGGGTTTGGGACTGCGACTTCTCTGTCGATGGAGAATATCTTGTAACAGGTACTAGTTCAACTCTCTATCCATTGGAAAACTTGTACGAGACAGAAGAGTCTTTAAACTTGTTTTTGTAATATTTGTATAGCATCATCGGACACCACGGCTAGATTGTGGTCGATGCGAGCGGGAAAAGAAGTGAAGGTGTACCAAGGTCATCGCAACGCCACTATGTGTTGCACTCTCCGTGATTAAATCCTGTAAAAGAATCAAAAAGGCTAAACTATGAACAAATTATGATTGTGGTGTTTGTGTTAAAGAAAAAATCATGTACATTTTAATTGGAATATTTTCTAATTGCTCCTCTGAATTTTTGTTTATCAGGAATTGATTCTCTCTAGTCTCTAAACTAAAGAGACCAAAAAAAGAACTCTCAACAAAAATATGAGAGGCCTTGCAAAGTAAAGTATCATTCTTAAAGCTTAACTAATAGAAAATTCAATTTCTTTAAGCGATCCCATTACTACTAGACCTTGAAGGACAAGTAAGCTATGAACCTATCCAACCTCGTTTAGAGTTGATAAATCATTAATCCACCAGCTTATATAATTAGCTGCCACAAAACATTAACTTTGTTGTGGTGGTTAATGTTTGTGGCATTGCAGAGTAAAGTATCATTCTTAACTACTAGAAAATTCAATTTCTTAAAAGCTATCACATTGTAAAGTAGAGTACAACATTTTTAAAGACCTTGAAACACAAGTAAGCTCCGGACCTCGTTTAGAGTTGATAAACCAATCCACCAACATGATTAGTTGCCACAAACATTACATTTGTTTTTCTCTTATCTCTATAGGCAAATTAAGTGGTCACATTGGTTCAGAACAGGGGATTTTGGCCCTAAAAGAAGAAGATTTAAGCCACTCGATCGATACCAACTCAATGCCTCTCCACTCACGTGCTTACTTTTGGATGGATCAACATTAATTTTAATTACATCAAATATACAATCGCCATCATTAGAGTGACAAATGTATACTACATGACACATGTGCTATCTCTTAGATTATAATTAATTTTCATAAAAATACTATTTTCTTCATCCTCTTCCTCACTTACAGATGCAGTCTTAAAGAGATTGCAATGTGAGCATTAAGATGAAGTAAAAGAGAAATACACATGAAGAAACCAAAGTGAAGCAAATACAGGAGGCAATTATAAGATAATATCAGTATTTCGAAGAAGTTATGTTATTTGATATTACGATAATTATATAAAATCATATTAATTTAGAAAAATCAAAAACCGAATAAAAAGTAGTTATGTTATATTCAATAAATAAATTCGGGTTTAGAGCTTGAACATAAATAAGCAAACAAATAACAAAATTAAAAGAAGAAAAAAACCAAAAAATAAGCAAAACATCTATATATACATTTTTGAAGTACATTTGGTACTAAAATCTATTTAGATTTATAACCTTTTATTTTATAATATTTGCATAATCAAACCCTTGCCAATTGAATAAATAACAAAACTTAAAAGTAAATTTTGTAATTAAATCACAAGCAAATCGTAAAATTGGAAACAAATATTTATTACAACAAAAAGATTTCCTAAAATGTCTCTCTCTATTAAATCGAATATCTCTCCAATATATTTATGTAATCTTATTTATTTTTAATTTATATTATTACATAAAATATATTTATAATAAAAATACAAATTTTTTTCACACATTTTGCAATTTAAAATTTTGAAAACGGGCGTATATAACTCAAACGATAAAAGAAAAAATATATGTACAACGTCTATAAGGTAAAAAAATTAGATAGTTCAAACCCATTATAAATAGTACTAATATTTTCACAACTTCAAATGAACATGAACTTTGATTTCTCATGTATCCAAATTAAAATTTTAAAGTTTTATAGAATATTTAAAATATAAAAAATATTTAAACTCGACAAAAATTTAAAATATTATTAATATTTTAACTCAAAATATTTCAAATATAATAATATTGTAAGTAAATATGAATGAACGGTTTTGAGTTTATATAAATATGATTATATGTTTCTTACGGGTTGTGTAATATTAAAAAAGTTTTACGGGTTAAGTTAAAATATAAATTTTTATTTACAACAAATCATCCTGCGGTGTACTGCAATTTTTTTTTTTGTGAAGTGTATCGCGTACTGACCACATATATCTATGAGTCTACTTATTATACAAATTCATAAAATTATATAAGACTAAAATAATATAAACACGTATAAAACTATAGTATATAAACCAACTACAAAATTAATAAATCAAGCAAATATATTCAATTATGGACCCGTGGTGTACCACGGGATAAATCCTAGTAAGTAAATTATAATCAAAAGAAAAGCAAATGTAAAATTTGGTTTAAAGTTATATAGTGTTTTATTCCCAACATGAATCAAACTTTTCTCCAGTAAATAAAACGAGTTGAGTTTTATCATATATCAAAGCAATTTTCTTAGAAATTTACAAATATTCAACATCTACGTTTTGTCAACCATAAACTATATTATGCACATAAAATTATTTAATCAACTATAAAATAGAACATGCATGTCGGATCTAGAACTTAATATGTCTCAACTCACTCACTCAATGGATCGGTAAACAAGTTTGGGATCAAGTCTTTATGATTCGGCGAATAGGGAACAACCGGTATGCAGCGGGTTTCCAAATGTGTCTTAAATTTAAAACTTAATATGTGTTAAATTTAAAATATTTTTCAACTTCTTTCTCTAAAAAATGATACACTTGTTATAAAAACGTTTATTTTTTCCTTTTAAATATAGTTTAACATTGCATTCAAAAAGAAAGAAAAAAAAGAACATGCATGTTGATGGAATGGAATATGGGCCAAGGCGATAGTGGGTTATGATAAACAAACATTTATGTTGTGAATTGTGATATTGTAGAAGCTCAACGTTGGTTGGTTATATATGTCGACGCAAACAACCATTTCCCCATCTTAAGCTGTAAATTATATTTCAAAAAGAAAAAAAAAAAATTAGTATAACTTTGTCACACGAAGATTCTGCACAAAAAAAAGAAGAAGATACATGTAATAATTAGTTAATGATGATTCTCATCATTCATTGTCTTGACACCATCAAACAGTTTCTTGTTGAACAATTAACAGACTTGTGAAAAATGATGTTATTGGATATATCATATATGCAATATAATTCCCCACATTTAAATATGAACACCTATGACCAAAACACTAAGGAGCCAATATATGAGCAGTTAGAGAAAACACTTTTGGTAATCTCAATCCTCCTAAAATTTTATCCGTCGTACTACTCTGGCTAGGACATAAACAATTTTGGATACTTCGTAAATTGGTATATACATATTGTAATTGTGTTCATAGCAATTTTAGGTGATATCAAAAAAAAATTACATAAAAACGGAAAAAAACCTAAATGATTTTTCTTTTTATTTTATTCAAAGTAAAATATCCTTACCATAGAAAATATTTGGAAAGAAATATTTGGTTTTAAAGAACTGTATGGAAACAAATAAAATGGTTCTTGCACGTGTGTGTTTCCATTTATTATATGCATTTGACAGAAACTTTTTTAGATTCATGACCAAATATATAGATTGGGATGAACTTGAAGATTATCAAGAAAATATCACCATCTATTAGACCTGTGGTCCTCCATTCCTCCTTATAAATAGGAAATGTTGAAACTCACTGTGACCACATCTCCAAAATCAAATCGAAAGTCATGTTTGGGATTCTAGGGTTTAACGCTTCCATGGGAAAAAGACAGAAGCAAGTGATGGTCTCTAGCCCAAGCAAGTCCTCAACAGAAACCTCGAAGGAGATCACAGATGATGTCTTGATTGACATTTTCTCAAGGTTGCCACCGAAAGCCGTTGCGAGGTGTCGTTGCTTGTCAAAGCGCTGGTCCTCCATGATGTGTCATCAACATTTCACCCAATTGTACCTTAAAAAGTCATCCGTCCGGCCGCGTATGATATTCACCTTGCTATGCAATGGTAAGAGGATCTTTTACTCTATACCTCAGGATCTTGATCCAGACCGCGACTACTTCAATCCTATAACTCCTAATTGCCGGATGCATTTCCCAAAAGGTTTGGATTGTAATTATGAAGTGTGTCCCTCTATACTTGGGTTTATCTGTACCGAATCTAGGAAGCCGATGATATGTAACCCAAGTACAAGAGAGTACATATCTTTACCCATAGCAACAACAAAGAAGCATCAGACAAGAACATGTTTCGGGTATGATCCTATTAACAAGCTTTTCAAGATATTGTGTGTGTCTGATGATTATGTCTGTCGAGTTGCAACGTTAGGAACAAGTGTCGTGACCTGGAGAAGAGTCGAATGTTCGACACCCCATCAACCTTTGCATACTCAGATATGCATTGATGGTGTTTTGTACTATATAATTAAGTGCATGGATGTAACTCCAACGCGCTTTATGGTAGTATGCTTTGATGTTACTAGGGAAACTTTTAAGTTTCTAGGTGTTGACTGGTTACGAACTTACTCTTCGGCTCTTATAAACTACCATGGTAAGCTGGGCATATTGTCTTTGAATTATTTTGGTTTTGATCTGCGGGTTCTAGAGGATGCGAATGAAGCCGAATGGTCAAAGACTGTCTACATATTGCCAAATCAGTGGAAGCATCTAGCTACCGCTGCCAACCTAGACCTTGTCGGGATGACTAGTGAAGGTGAATTTGTGCTGTCGAAAATCTTTCTAGAGGAGCCTTTCTACGTGTACTACTTCAATACAGTGAAGAATACTGTAGTGCAAGTTCAAATCGACTTCGGAACTTTACCTAAGAAGGCTTACTACTCGCCAGAAATTTTGACTTTGATAAACCATGTGGAGAATGTAGAGCTTATAAATTAGCATGCCTTCTAATTTTGGGTCCTTAGCATTTTCATCCATCTTGTTTTTTTTTTTATAATTGTTGCTGTTATTGTTTCGATGTTCTTTATATGAATCAATATCTGTTGTAAGCTAAGGTTTAGCTATTTGAAATCTTTTCTCATAATGAGCAACACAATTTGTCTCCTTTTCTATATAATTAAACTTTACCATTGCCTCTCATTAACCCTACAATGAGATAGTCACCCATTACTAAAAACCTATGTGCATTAAGCTTAAGTCCAGGACGTGATGAAGATTTGCGAAAGAAAGCTTTAGCTCTGTTCTCAAAGTTAAGTATTGGGAGCTATCTAGGGATATAATGATCAAATGAATAAGCTTTTGATAGTAACAAGTGTTTTGGTTATAGAAAAATATGCAAGATTACACTTAAAAATAAGAAAACGTTTAACTCAACAACATCACAGTGTAACATCATTAGCATCTCCTTTAAAGTTTTGATCAGAAACATCTAGACAACGCCAAGTGTCATAGTGTCTAGGGACAGTGCCAATGAGATCAGACCGCTTGACCGTTCCACACATCTCTAATCCACACCTATTCAACACAACAATTGTACACCAAATATTCTTCTTTTTGGTTGGTTGACTAATACTAATATGTCCCAAATCTTCCCACAGAAACGCAATTTTTCCATTGCAATCTGATATACAGTGTTTTTAGAGTCTTTCACCCTTTCTTTTATGTCCATTTTGAGTCGTTTATCGTATTTTAGTCCGTCTTTCGTGTCTTTCGAGTCGTGTTTTGAGTCTTGAGCAGGGGATAAGCGGTTGGAGCAGAATTGACGCGTTTTGGACCAGTTTCGGGCAAGGAAGTGACCAGTTTCGCTGATGCAGAACATGGACCGATCGGTCCATCACCCAGACCGATCGATCCGACCGGACGGACATTCCAGAAACAAAACGATCGATCGGTCCTCACTTCCGATCGATCGATCCTATCACCCGGACAAGATCCGGCGCCTAAAGACCGATCGGTCCATCTGTTAGACCGATCGGTCCATTCCAATTTCGGTTTCCTTAACCGGAGTTAACTTCTATTTTCTTCTGGAATGGGTATTAAAACCCAAAAAAAGACCTGTTTTTCATGTTACGCTTTTCACAGCAGTTTTTCTGAGTTTTAGACTTGTAAGCAACATCTGGGATAGAGATTGATCCTCTTTGACAATTTGGAGAAGATTTCTAAACCTTTTTCTTATTCTAATCTATTGAATCATGTTTACTTTAAAATCTATTTGCTTTGTTTCAATTGCTATGTCTGAGTAGTCTTTAAATTGGGTTTTAGGGTTTCAAGTAGGAGAATTCAATGATTTGATAGATTAAATGTCTTAGGGAATTCTTAATCATTAGGTTCTTCAATTTACATGTTCTCAATGCTAGAATAGGATTGATCACCCTGTTTTAGAACTTAGGCTTTTATGTGTTTCAGAGATGTTCGATAAAATGCCTGAATGAATGTAAATTGAGCATTGTATTTCTAACCTGCGAAAGTTGATGTTAGAACGCTTTGTGAACCAAATGAACCTGTTTGATAATGCAAATTTGGCTAGGAAATTACAAATGAGAGTTTAGTAATTGAATAGTTAAAATTTAGTGACTAATGTTTTGAGAGAGAATTAGTCTAAACTTCTGTTCATGTTCAAGAACGGTTCTTCATGTTTGAATTCCTTATTGCTTTTATTTGCTAATCATTGATTCTCTGAAAATACCCTGCTGCCCAATGCTTTAATTCATAAGTTTCAATCTCTCTTTTATTTGCATTTTTATTTACAAAACTGAAAACCAAACGAAAACCCTTTTCCGCTTTAGCTGATAACGAGTCTCGAAAGTCTTTAGTGTACCATTGCTCCTTGTGATCGATCCCGCATATACTTTACTTCGGTTAAGTTATCGGGTTAAATACTCGAGTAATCACAATCCACCATTCCAACAGGCATGACAATTGACTTATCAAGCGTCAAATCCTTGACCTCTCTCCACTCCTAACCTATAGAGTTATACCACATTAACCCAATATTCTTGTAATAAACATAGATCACATTTTTTGTCACACACACTCCACCTCTGATCCATGTACTTTCTTTAGCCATATCAAAAGTGTCACATCTACCATCTTTTGTATCGTAGATAATGTGTGTGTTTTCGACATAACTCATACCATAAAGCTTCCCTTCCACGGCAACAGAATCTGTCACAACTTCTCCATATCGTTCGACTAATTTTTCTCCATATTCGATTTACCCATGGGGACTTAATGGTCCAACCTCCCAAGTTCGAGTCGTTGGGGCAAAAACCTCCACTTGGATCTGGTCTTTGCCGCACCCTCCCATTACATATATTTTTCCATCCACAACTGTCGCACCTGGTAACTTGCGAGCCTCTTTCATGCTAGGACCCTCACACAACTCCCCGGACCATGGATCCAAGAGCATAATGCTCGAGGAATAATGATCTCCAGATCCACCGATTAAGTAGATCGTGGAACCTACCGAGACGATGGAACAACAAAGCATCTGTCGAGGAAAAGCTGGAAATGATTTAAAACTACTACTTGTTTTCTTCTCGTGTATGTCATAAATGAGCCAATAAAAGTTTCTACCAATACTAGTAGGTTCGGTAAAGCAGACACAAACGAGGGGACAGTACTTTTTGCCGGCCATCAAGGATCGCATATGTGCAAATTCAGGAGAAGCCACAAGGGATAGGAAGCTTTTGGAAACACAAGAGAGGTTCGGGTAGTAGCATCTTGGGACGCGAACTAAGCAGTTCAAAACTATATCGTGTGGTAATGATGAAAACGACAAAGGAGATTGGTCGGAAGACACAATCTTGTATGGCTTAGGGTTTCGTTTGATGAACTTTCCAGGTCGTCTCATGAGCCTTTTTTTGTATAAAGTCCTCATGAGTTGACTTTGTGAAGGAGAAAAAAAAAAGAAAAAAGGTAAAGCAAGCCACGCTCGATGACTGTGAGCTAGCTAGTTGGTGTGAGATGGTGTCGAAGGAGGCTAATTAATTGGAAGAGGAGAGAAAAATAAGGAACCCTAATTAACAAGAAATCATTTTTTTCATGTAACTAATACGATTATACGAGGCAATTTATGTGTTATAGACTTATAGTATTTCATTTTTGGTTAAAAATTTGAAAAATATAAATGAATTAAATGACTTTTGTAAAATCTAGATTGTATCTATGGAATCTAGAAGACTTTAGTAAAATCATAGATTGTTTATAAATAAAATATTCTAATGACAAAAAAATATATATATTCTAAAAGATTACAGAAAGATTTTTGTAATCTTGTTATTTAGTGGGTGTTATTGGATAATGGATTTTAATAGAGTCTAACTCTAACTCAAGTCTAATGTTATTTAATCAATGATTTTAAATACTTTACTCAAATCAAGTGTTATTGGTTCTTATATTTGCAAAATCTTCATTAAAAGAGTTTAAAATCTAGTGTTATTGGTTCTTATATTTGCAAAATCTTCATTAACAGAGTTTAAAATCTAGTGTTATTGGTTCTTATACTTACAATTATTAACGAAAGTCTTATGTTATTCAAGTTTGGTGGATTTTCACAAATGAATTCATTTGAAAAGCTTTGAGTGAATCTGAAACTGATTTCATGTGTAAATTATGTTAATCCGAAAACCAAACTTCTAACATGAGATTTGACAATCTAATAATAAATTAATAAAAGTTTCATTGAACGTAATACACGTACATTATCAATATTTACAAACTCATTCACCCATGACCCAACACATATGTATCTCTCTTTATCATTTTTTCCCAGTCTTTTTTTTTATCCCTAGTTAATGTGTATATTTGTTTTAACAGTTGTTGTATGATTCATTTGATCACTTTAACAAAAAATAAAATAATTTTCATCTTTAAAAGATATGTTAAGACTTCACTACAGAAATTTGAAATGGGAAAAAAATACGTGATGATAAAAGTTTGGTATAATTTCATTGAAAATTGTAAAATCATTTGTTATAGAATTCAATTTTATTGTTCAAAACCAAAAGATATCATGTGTCAGTGTAAATACAATTACACTGATTTAAAGAATGAATAATATTAAATCAGTCTCAATGAACCCAGATTTTGAAAGTCTTATAAATTTTAAAATCTAATAGAGTTGAATTTAACTTAAACAACCAATAACACCCCCTTATTTTTTCTATAGTCTTGTAAAGTCTTTCAAACCATCTCTCTATTTTTATTATATTTTCCTGACTTTATTTTGTAAAAAAGTGTTTAAAATCATAAACCAATAACATAATAATTTAATTTATCAACAATCAAATATTCTTTTGTTTTAATTGGATAACACAAAAAAAAAACTTTTGATGACTTTATAAATTATGAATCCAATAACCCCATATTTATGAAGTTTTTAAATGTAATTTTTCTTTTTAAAAGAAATCAATAACTAATACCACCAAACCTTTAAAAAGTTTAATAAAATGAATTTTGAGTGAATAACAGCAGATTCTATGTAACATATAAAGTCATTAAAACACTATATAATCACAAACTAATAACACTCTCTAACTATATGTAATTACGACATATGTAGTATATATTGTATATAGTAAGTAATTGTGATCAAAGCCATTGTTTGTATTTACATAGATTCCATGGTTATAACATGTACATAATCTATCAATCTAAGAACAAAAGAATCGAAGAAGTTGATTTATGATCATTTTTGGAGTAAGTCATAACTGTGTGAACATACTCACATGCATTGATATTTCGATGATGTAAACCTACCTTTCAACATGTGGTTCATATAACCTTCAAATGTTAGTTTTCCTATATGCTTGTTTGATTTTTCAGAATACAGCTTTTGATATATTATCATTAATAAGTTCCTCTTCATCATCCTCGTCTCATCAAGTTTGAGAGATAGATGAACTGGTGATATATGCACAGAAGTGCTTAAACAATGCAACATATATATCAATAATATAGTAATTCACTAAGTACGAAAATGTCTCATGTTTAAACAACATCACATCACTTACCATCATAAACATATATATCAATAATATAGCAGTTCACTAAGTACGAAAATGTCTCATGTTTAAACATCATCACAGCACCTACCATCATAAACATACATATATGTCTTTAGAAGTTTTAGTAAGAAACACCTAGACAACGCCAAATGTCATAGCAGTGAGGGACAGATCCAACTTGCTTAGACCACTCGACCGTTCCATGGATCTCTACTCCACTCCTATCCAACACAATCATCGCAAACCAAATCTTCTTAAATTTGGTTTGTCCTCTAACAAAACCTTTCAGGCTTGCCCACATAAAGCCGAGTTTCCCATTGAATTCCACCATTCCAACCATCTCAATTTCTCTATCAAGCATATTCAAACCTTTAACCATTCTCCATACCTTATCTATAGAGTCAAACCACATTAGCCCAAGATTAAAGTAATAAACATAGATCACATTGTTTATCACACACACTCCACCTCTCCTCCAATATGCATCTTCAATTTCCATCTTAAAAGTCTCACATCTACCATCTTTTGTATTGTAGATTATGTGACTCCCTTCTGTATAACTCATACCATAAACCTTCCCATCTAAAGCCACAGCTTCGGTCACAAACTCTCCATACCGTCCTTCTCCGTATCGGATATTACCATGGCGACTCAATGGTCCAACTTTCCAAGTTTGAGTCTTTGGATCGAACACCTCCACTTTGATCTGGCCTTCTCGGCACCCTCCCATTACGTATAGCTTCTCATCAACCACTGCCACGCCTGGTTTAACGCGAGACACTTTCATTTTAGGACCCTTACACAACTTGCCGGACCAGGAATCAAAGATCCATAGGTCCCGTGACTTGTCACACATACTTCCTCCAACAAAGTAGATCTTGTGACCTATGGAGACGGAGGAACACAACACAATCTCTCGAGAAAGAACCTGGTCCTGATCAACTGAGTTGAGATCACATGTTTTCTTCTCGTTTGGGTTCAAAGTGAACCAATGATGTCTCCCGTCGTCAAAACAAAGAGCACTCTCCCAAAAGCATACGTAAAAGACAGGATTGTTTTTGCCCATCAAGGCTCGCATATGTGCAAGCTCAGGAGAATGCACGAGAGATCGGAGGCATTTGGAAACACAAGTGAGGTTTGGGTAGTAGCGTCTCGGGACACGAGCTAAGCAGTTCAAAACTACATCATTAGGTAATGAACAGAACAACGAAGCAGATTGGTCGGCGGCGGGGGATAAAGCTATGATGGAACAAGGCTTAGGGTTTCTAGTAAAGAAGTTGAGAGCTCGTCTAGTGAGACTACATAGGAGGGAGAAAAAGCCAAGTATACCAGTTAAGAGTCTGTGAAGTGATGATACTAGCGACGCCCGATGAAGATTCTCTTGCGGTGGTGCATGGTTGGAGTTGGAGGTGACGGAGAGTGACATGTCGTTTACGTTGGAGGAGGCGGAAAACAAAAAGATGAGAAAGAACCCTGATTTTTGTTTTTGGCTAGGAAGGTGAAAGAACCCTAAAACAAATTCTTTTTTATCATTAAAACCTGAAAAAAAAAAAAAAATCCAAAAATCTATTTTGGGTTGGAAACAAATTATTTTTTAAATTCTTTATTTAAGCCCATAATAAATTAGCCCAAAATCACTATTGGTACACTTCTTTCATCAACTTTATCATAACAAGACTTATATAATCCACAAATATTTTTTTTAATATAATTTTATCCAAAAAAAAAAAGACTTTACAACTTGAGAATAGAATATTTTTGGAGTCACTTTCAAAACAACAGAGACAGCAGCCAGTGAAGTGGCTGTTGATCCACGTGGAACTAATGGTTCGTGTTTTGATCTAATCGTGCTACTAGCTAGCGGGACAGTGGCCTCATCGATTGCGACGTACGTGGTGTGTTTTAGAGATAGAGAGAGAGATAGAGAGAGAGAGCAGCTTAGTGGATATATACTTTAAAATTTGTTTTATATATGTATAGTCTCAGAGTCAGGTGGACATGGTCGTGTTGTCTATCGGAAGTTTGCAAAAGTTCCGATGACTTGTCAACGGCTTTTTACCCCGTCCCGTTCCGTCGGTTTCTTTATTCTTTACATCATCTTTAATTGTTTTCATGAATACATTACAAATACACTCTTCTTTGCATAATGTAATTAATATCAAATGGCTTTGGTAGATTATTTTACAAATTAATGTTTTGTTAAGTCAACTCTATATATATTAGTATTGTTTTTTTTTTGTCAACGTATAGAAGTATAGTACTAAGTGCGTATGTAATTAGATACGAAGAAATTTTTTCACATATATTCTTTACACTCTAAAGTCTAAACCAATTAATTAGATTTATAATTATTATTCATAGAAAAATGTAAAGAAAAAACAACTTCAGTTTGGCTAATTTTCCAAATAAAACTTCAAGTTTATCACTTTCATAACAAATATTAAGAAGTTTTCAAGTAACTGACTTTTTAAAGTTTTTTGTGTTTACCTAAAAGAAATCAACATCTTAATAATAATAGAGATATCCTACGATAACTATTCAAAATAGTTAATTTGGGGTTTGAAACACAACAGCACCTTACTTTTGTTTTCTCTTAATTTGATGCATGAGCTTAATCGTTAAGATTTTAATTAACTTAGTTTGTTTCTTATTTAATACAGTGAAAATCTTTACTAGTTTTTTTTTTTTCATTAAGGTTTTGTTTAGGGTTTTAATTATTGTAGTATATATTTAAACCTAGAAAGAACAATTTAATTTTCTTAATAATAAATTTCATAGAGTTAACCTAATCATATTTTACGGTGGATTCTAGACATCTTTTGGGTGGATTGCATAATTTTATTATTCAGAGTGTGTGGTGTATGAATTTAATTTTATATATAGATTTAGCGCTTAATTTACCTGATATTTTTCGATTGTGTCATAATGAAACTAATTAATTTGAAGCAATATATAAAAACACAATTAAAAGAGTTTCAAATTTACAAAAACTAATTTGAAAGACACTCAAATAATAATAGAGATTAAAGAGTTTTTAGAGAAAGCAAAAATTGTTGACAAACATCATTTGCTATTTTTGATTAACTCTAACTAACAAGAAAAAATAGTCACGTGTTAAAAAATATATTTAAAAAAGTGTTGTTTACTTTATTCTCGTAAATTTTGTTATATTATTATGAGAACGTTACATCGACGACGACACGTGTCAAAAGCAAACGTAAGAGGCATCGTAGACTTTTCCTCCTCCCTCCCTCCCTCCGTCGACAAAACAAAAGTTACCCAGTCCAGACCAGACCGTCGATCTACATACGTCATCAACCACGTCAATACCACCGACACGTGTCAGGAAAAGACCCACACGCCACACGGATCCATTGGCTCGTTCGGTGTTAGCCTCCGGTCTCTAATTCTTCTGATTCCTTCCTCTCTCTCTCTCTCTCTCTCTCTCTCTCTCTCTCTCTTCCCCCACAAATATTGGGCGCAAAATCTCTCTCTCTCTCTTCGAGGAAGAAGAAAGCGAAAAGTCTTCTCCTTTCTTTAAAAAAAAAAAAAATTTAATTTGAAAAACCCTAACACGAGTCCGCCGTCTTTGGTTCGAAGAATCTGAGGATTGATTTGTTTTTGGCGTCTGGGTTAATCCTTCTTGAATCCGCTTTTGTTGTCAATTTCCTCCGGTGAGTTTGGATTTTTGTCGGTTCTGATTTTGTTTGTGTATTGAAATTTAGTAGCTTTCTGATTTATGGTAACAAAAATTCGAAAGCTTTGGAAATTAAATACTTTTTTTTTTATTGTTCTGTCTACAGCTTTTTGATGAGCTCTTCTCCGTTGAAGATTTCTGAATTTTCAGTCTCTGTTGTTTCCTTGTAATTTGGCTGTGTTGAAGAGCGATTGTTCTTGGGAGTCATAAAGTTGAAACCTTTTTCAATGCCATATGGCTGAAGACAGCCTACGGGTTGGTATGATTTCTTCTGGTTTGGCTGTTTTACTCAATGGTGAAGATGCTAAAGATAATTCGTCGAAAGCTCGTATTGTTCCGCATTTTGATTATTCTGGTCACCGGCCTTTAGAACGGACTGTTGAGTTCTTGTTTGGTCTACCAGAAAAGTCAGTTGGTCCGTTGGATGGTCAAGTAGACAGTAGCTTGATTAGAGCTGTAATTAAGAATCAGTTCTCCAAGCTTCATGGTGAGTTAGGTGCTTCAGTTAGTCAGAGGGAAGGAATCAGTGTAGTTCATCATGGTGTTGGGCCTCCTGTTGTTGGCCTAGAAGAATATAGCATATGTGGTGATATCAGGATTGTTAAACCGCCTCTTGTATTGGAGAGCTTAGCACTCTTCAGCAGCGCCAGGGCTAATGCGTGTATCTGGAAAGGAAAATGGATGTATGAAGTCGCTTTAGAGACCTCGGGAATTCAGCAACTTGGATGGGCAACACTTGCCTGTCCATTCACTGACCAGAAAGGTGTGGGTGATGCTGATGATTCATATGCTTTTGATGGTAGAAGGGTAAGCAAATGGAACAAGGAAGCTGAACCTTATGGGCAACCGTGGGTAGCTGGAGATGTCATTGGTTGCTGCATAGATTTGGACGGTGATGAGATATCCTTCTACAGGAATGGTGTCTGCCTTGGGGCTGCTTTTACTGGTATCAGAAAACTCGGACCTGGATTTGGGTATTACCCTGCTATTTCTCTCTCCCAAGGTGAGAGATGCGAGTTAAATTTTGGTGCTTACCCATTTAAGTACCCTGTTAGAGATTTCCAACCTCTTCAAGAACCCCCACCTCGAGTCTCTTTTGCAACAGAGCTGCTACGATGCTTTTCAAGACTTCTGGACAGGCCGGACCGCTCGTTGGCTGATACGTTAAGTAGACTGAGGAGGTTTGCCTCGGTCGAAGAACTATTTTCGCCTGTTTCCCGTGCCATATGTGATGAGTTCTTCTACATACTTGAGCAAGACCCGTTGTTGCCTGAGTACTTAGGAGGGGGTGCATTTCTGTCATTCCTCTTGGAGATTTTCAGAACTCAAGCACCACATGATTGTTTAAGTTTAGACAGAGTTCTAGATGTACTTCTTGAGTTCCCACAATCTCATATGATCTTTGAGCATGTAGTAAACGCTCTTGCTTGTGGCTGCAAAACAGCGACGTTGATTCTAACTGAATGTCCATATTCAGGACCGTATCCCTATCTTGCGCTGGCTTGTCACTTGCTAAAACGGGAAGAACTGATGGTACAGTGGTGGAGATCTTTGCACTTTGAGTTTTTGTTTGAAGGTTTCTTGTCATACAGGAGTTCCAATAAGCATGATTTACAGCAATTAATGCCTGTTGTTTGGTGGCCTGGATCCTCTGAAAATATAGCCTATGAGAGTAGCATGGGATTTACAATCTCTGCTCTCTCTGAAGCCATTAACAAGGTATGATAGAATAGGTCTTACTGGTTTTCTTTTGCTTAAAGTAATTGCAGGCATAACTCTTTTCTGAATATAGTTTGAGTTCTGATATTACAAGGAATATAATTAATTAATTTTGTTCTCTTCTAATTCAGATCGAAGAGAAGCAAAGGAACCTCTGTCTCTTGGTCATACAGTTCATACCACCTGTATCGCCACCCCAGCTTCCTGGTTCAGCATTCAGGGGATTCCTACAGAACCTTTTGTTGAAGAATAGGGGCGCAGACAGGAATCTGGCCCCTTCTGGAGTTACACGCAATTCAGTTCTTGTCTCTCTGTTCTCGGTTATACTCCATTTTTTATCGGAAGGTTTCACAATGCTAAAAAGTAGTGAAGCCGCCCTTCAAAATGTTGGTTTTCTTCACAGAGGTGGTCAGCAGAAGTTTCCATTGAGTTTGTTTCTTAAAAATGATCCACATCGAGCTGATATCACTAGGCTAGGTGGGCTGTTTAGTCATATATCGAAGTCCTACCCCACAGATGATCAAGAAGAAGAAGTAATGCGGTGGGAAGAAGGTTGTATGGATGATGAAAATAGTAGAGTAACTCACGAGACTGAGCAGAAGCCATGCTGTTGCTTAGCCTATGATACTGATCTTACTAAATCCTTGAAGGATCGGGGAAAAAATACTGCTAAAAGTTCTAGTGGTCAAGGCAGCTCCATTCCTGAGAGATCGTCTCATGTTGCTGCAGAATGTAGTGCTGCAAGTTTCAGTGAAGAAATAGAGGACAAACCTAGCACAAGTGATCAGTCTGACCCTGACTTTGGTTATCGTCCTGTAAGATTTATGCGGACTGCACTACAAGAGAGTAGAATTTCATCTGCTGTACTAAGCGAAGAAGAACTATTGGATGCTCTATTGCTATTATACCATATTGCTGTCGCTCCAAATTTTAAGCAGGTAAGTATAGTGCTTTTTTGCATCTTGTTTAGATTTAGTTTTACTGTTTCTACGATACATGATGCAACCCGAATAAGATTCATAGGCTGATAGGTTGTCCTTTTACTTAGGCATCATATTACATGTCTCACCAATCGCAATCAATATCACTTCTAGAAGAAACGGATAAACAAATAAGAGAACGGGGTTCAAGTGACCAATTAAAGCGCTTAAAGGAAGCTCGTAACAACTACAAGGAAGACGTGATGGATTGTGTTAGGCATTCCGCATGGTAAGTTTCACTTGACTCATGGATTGTGTTTACTCCAAAAGGAGGGTTTAGTGAAGAGGTTTCAATTATGATTTATGTGAGGCAATACAACGCTTATTTTTCTAATATTTATGTCTTTACTCTTTCTGAATCTTTTTTACAGGTTCCGCATCTCATTGTTCTCTCGTTGGAAGCAAAGAGGAATGTATGCATTGTGCATGTGGGTTGTACAGCTACTTTTGGTTCTCAGCAAAATGGATTCTGTGTTTGTTTACATTCCAGAGTTCTACCTTGAATCTTTGGTAAATAGCTTTGCCCATTTCCAGTACTTCTGGATAGGAATGAACATGTTTCAATTTCTCCTTTGATCAAAACAATGAGATGTTCCAACAACTTATTCTGCTCCGTTAGCTCTGTTTTTCAGTGAATTTTTTTAAGTTTACAATCTTTGTGATGCTTTCCTCAGGTAGACTGTTTCCATGTGCTACGCAAGAGCGATCCACCATTTGTCCCATCAACAATATTTATCAAACAAGGACTGTCATCATTTGTATGCCCAAATCCCTTATCACACATTTTTTTTTTTTTTTGTCTTTTTCTCATCATGAGTTTAGTTAGTTAGCTTTAGGTCAGTTGCACAACGACTCTAACATACTCATTGCTACTTTGTGGGTTTCCAGATCACTTTTGTAGTTACACACTTCAACGATTCGAGGATATCGAACACAGATCTTAGAGATCTACTTCTCCAGTCTATATCCGTCCTGGTACAATACAAAGAGTACTTAGAAGCTTTCGAGAACAACGAGGCAGCTACTCGATACATGCCTGCAGCTCTACTGTCAGCGTTTGACAACAGATCTTGGATCCCTGTCACAAATATATTTCTTCGTCTTTGCAAAAGTTCTGGGTTTAGTTCTTTAAAGAACGGGGAGTCTTCGTTTTCATCTACTGTTTTCCAGGTTGGTTAGGTTTATTAACTTTGTTTCTATTGGGTCCTCAGCCTACATATTGGATTTTGATTTTCTTTTTTGTCTAGGCGCTTATACGAGATGCTTGTATCAATGATGGTGAATTACTCTCTACTTTTCTTAACCGGCTATTCAACACGCTGAGCTGGACCATCACTGAATTTTCTGTCTCGGTTAGAGAAATGCAAGAAAAGTATCAGGTCAGATTATAAGCTTGGATCCTTTTCATCGATTAAGTTTTCATAGTGATTGATTACTTCTCTCTGAATGATTTGTGTTGCTTGATCTGCAATGCCCTGGCAAGTATTTATAGTCTTTTACGTGGTTGTCTATATGCAGGTAATGGAGTTTCAGCAAAGGAAATGTTGTGTGATATTTGAGATTTCAAGCAATCTGGCAAGGGTCCTAGAGTTCTGCACTCACGCAATACCGCAAGCGTTTCTTTCTGGGACCGACACGAATCTTCGTAGGCTCACTGAGTTGATTCTCTTCATCTTGAATCACATGACCTCAGCAGTAGATGACGAGTTCTTTGATTTGTAAGTTCGTTAAAATGTATCAAACAGCTCCAAAACGGATGAAAAATTGCTCATTTCTAATTATTTGTTTTCTACTGGCTTTGAGCTCGGTCAGGTCACTTAGACGGCAAGGACAACCTTCAGAGAAAATTAGCCGAGGGATCATATTAGCTCCTTTGGTTGGCATAATCTTGAATCTCTTGGAGGCTAGTGAAGACTCAAAACAGAAGCAACAACATGATGTAATTGGTCTTTTCGCAAGCATGGATTGCCCCGATACAGTCTATTACGGGTTTCAATATCTCTTGGAATATAATTGGGTACGTAAGCTCGTAACTCTAGTTTTTGCTCGTTTGCTTCTCTTACTGACACAGCTTCTTAAAAAACCATTTTCAGGACGGTTGTGTAAGCGGGGATGATGCGTATGTAAAAAAACTTGGACAACTTGAGAATTTCTTGAGCCATCTCATAGACAGGGCTCCCTCTCAAGAGCCCGAAAGAAAAGAAGAGTCTTCCAACAAAGACACGACGGATATAGAAGACAACACTTGCTGTATATGCTACGCAGGCGAGGCTAATGCGATGATTGCACCGTGTTCACATCGATCATGCTATGGCTGCATAACGAGGCATCTTCTCAATTGTCAGAGATGTTTCTTCTGCAATGCTACAGTTATTGACGTTATAAGAGATGGCGAACAATGAACACCGAAGAAGCTCGGGTTAGTTGCAGTTGGAGGTTGTTGATGTAGTAGACACAGAAGGAAAGATCTTTAGGTGGGGAGGCAAGGAAGCAAGATTATTAGATTGATAGGATTAATAATAAGAAACAGAAAAAAAAAACAAAAGGTCTGTGATAATTTTGTAGGACTTGGTCTTGTGGTCTCTCACTAGGCCTCTCTTTTTTTCTTCATTGTATATATGAGAATGAAATCGAAATTATTTAAAGGCTCTCTGTGTTTCTTACTTGAGTAAATGTGTAACCTGGTTGGTACGTAATTCAGTTCACTTGATGTTAGTAGATCAGATCGATCTAACTGGTCGGAATGAATTTACTGTTGTAGTCTGGTTTTTTTAGTTACTTACTCATATGTATAGTTTAGTTTTATTAGGTGTTCATCAGTATCTATACACAATTTCTGTTTTGATTGTTTGTATTCTGAAATCTCTTCTTTTTTTTTTTTGTTGTATTGGTAAATTCTTGTACCTAAACAGTAATATATGTATAGAAATAGCAAATATTTATCATTTCAGTCTCTTGTGTTTTAACCAAAAATATTATAAAAGAGGACATAGTTAATCTTAAATTTGTGATAATTTTAACTAAATTGAGATTTGTAGGGGTGTTTCTCATTGGGATCGGATAATTGTGTTTGAGACGACTGTGTGCTATTTATCTCTTTCATTGTGAATGTAATAAAATGCAGAGTTATACGTGAAACGACAAATGAGATAAGAACAGCACAAGAATATCGATATATACGATGAATCTCTAATCAGTAAGTCACGTATTTAAGAAGATAAAAAAACATGAAACCTATGTTACAAAAGAGTCTTACCAGTTTTGTCTTATTTCAAATAAATAAAGCATGTAAGAAAAAAAAAACAAAAACAAAATAAAACCACTCACAAAAAGAAAACAAAACAAAAATTTCAAGATGATAAGTAAGTTTTTAAACAAGAAGAAGACACGAACGAGTATATAAGAGAGTGATATAATCAGAAATATCAATTGTTTTGACCAGGTCTCCCTGAGCTGTAAGGTGGTCTTGGTCTCCTTCTTAACACTCGTGTGATCCTCGCCATAAATCCTGTTTCTTCAACCTATATATATAATCAAACATAAATAGCATCAAATCCAATTTAAACTAACCACTTTTACAATTTAAGTGTGTGGTTGACCCAAAAAAAAAGAAAGAAAAAAACATCAAATATATACAATTAGGGTTTAACTAGCTCATGTATATATTCCTAGCTAGCTTCCTAAATAAACTTCTTTGTTTAATTCCTAAACTAAGTAATTCTCAAGCTGATGCATCTTTGTTTCACCTCCGGATCGGCTCGCTAATCTCGTTTAATTAAGTTTCTTTATTTTATACTACAAGATGAACTGAACAAGATTGTGAACATAGAGAGCTTACGAGTTCATCAGTTCCTACATCTTCTTCTTGTACTAATGATGGTGATGAAGATGAAGATGAAGATGAGGATGGTGGTATTGATGATGACTCATCAAGACCAAGACACTTCAATATGGCTTGAACAACGTTGTGACAAGTAGAACATGGAGAGTTGAGAAGAGAGTAGTAATCTTCTTTTTCTTCATCTTCTCTTCTACTCTTGCTCTCTTCTTCACCATTAGCTTCCATTTTTTTTATTATCTTTTTTGGGTTCTCTCTTCTTCTTCTTCTTCTTCTGCTCAATGCATTAAGTGATGTGTCTACTTTGACCTCACCTGCTTCTCTGTGTTCTTACACACACACCCTACCTTTCATTTAATACCCTTGTAAATAATAAAAACATAAGTCAGAATTTTCTAAATTTTTTATTCATATATCATGATGTAAAACTAAACTCTTTGGAAATATATATAAAAAATAGCTTTAAATGGTATTAATTCGTATAAGAGCTATATTTGGCTGAATTAGTCGGTGCACTCTAAGGATATTACTAAATAATTTAGTCAATTTTATAAATTCATAGTTGGGTTGATGTGAAAAAGATGTTCTGGCGAACGCATGCATACAGTTTTTGTTTCTTGCTGTTCATAATTTTGCTTATGGATTTTTATTTATGTCTTTCTCTTTGGACCAGTGTTCCATTTGCAATAGAGAGAGTCCACCACTTTTATGAAGAAGAACCAAACAAATGTGAGAATATTTCTTAACATTAAAACCAAAAAAAAAAAAAAAAAAAATGTGAGAATATTTATTATTCCCATCAGCCATTTAGTTTGTCTTCTTTTGTTAATTATATATACTTATATCGTACTAAATTAGATATTCACTTATTCAACGACGTCTTCTTTTATATATTCTATAGTTATTTGAAGTTAGAAAATTAACGTTCGTTACAACTTACAACTATTATTCTACCCTTAATTAATAGGGTTAAAAAATTTAAATGTATCGCTCTTGTCTCCATACACTTGTCTTTTACAGTCCCCCGTACCAAATACATTGATAATCTACTAGTAGCTCATATAGTTTTTTAGCAAAGGATGATGCAATGTTAAGAAAATTGAGACTCTACCACATTCTAAAATGAATGCAAACGTAATTGAGATTTTTTATAATTTAACTATTTGGTGATTGTTGTGATTATTGTTAGTTTCTAGCTTTTATGTTTTATTTGTATATACTCTCTCCATTCTAGGATAGATGATCTTTTGGCCTTTGAAAATAAATGATTTTCTCGCAACTATGCAAAAATTAGAATTGTATTTATTTTTACAATTTATATTATATAAACTATTTTTTATTGACTGAATTGTGTTTACATAGATATTAAATGATGTTTTTATTTTTTTGTTAAAAAAATTAATGACTTTTTAATCTATGTGCAGTTGTTTAAAAACGGAGGAAGTATTAGTTTTGTCGCCTGATTAATAAATTTTATCTAATCTTGAAACTTGTTCAGGTACACACGCAAACATAAAAATATTATTTTTATTCTAGTGATGGTAGTAAATTGGATCATGACAAATTGGATAGTTTCTTGTCTATGCAAGAAACCAAACACACTTTAATGTACAATTCTCTTCTTTAATGTTATTGACAAGGAAAAATATCTAATGAGTTTTGGAAACATCAAGCACCAAGGTGGCAAGGTCTATCTACCGAACCTCGTAGTTCTCCCCTTCTTCAACACCAACACTATCAAGATTTTTCAAACATGTATTCACTGTGATGAGTTACGTCAAGACCGGCTCAAACAGATTCTTTCTGTTCGTGTTTTCTTCAATTTTTTGCTCAAATTAAACTTGCTCCATAAAATTTCATCTTACTCCATATCAATACTTTAGTAAGTTTAATTTAACTTAAAGTTATATATGGATCATATTATAGTCTCCCAACATGATAATACTATGTTTTTTTTTTAGTTTAGCAAGACAAAACTTTTAAACTAACCATCTCAATTGTATTTGGTGTTTATTTTCGTAATTCAAATAACCATGTTTGGGGTTAAATTATGGTTACAATTATCTTACAAGATCCACTATACACCAAGTTGGACTTGGATAATCATATATAGAGACTACAGCGTACATTGACCTGACCATTACAAATGTTACCTATATTTCTCTATTTTCGGGGAATTCGTTTTGATTTGTTTTGTACATGTTTTTGAAATTGACAGCTTTGTCTCCTACTCTTAAAAATAGAGCATAGAGCTGGCTGATCACACTTGGAAATTAAGACAACAACTATATATAAACTATAACCAATGTGAACACAAAAATTTAGACTTTTCTCTAAAACCATTCCAATTTCTAACCAAAATCAAAATTAGAAATTCTAAAAACTCAAAGGTGTGTGGAAGGTAAAAAAAAAAAAGGCCAACAAAATTAAAAACACAACACATGAATTAATTAATCTCTTTAAAATAGAAAGAAAAGTTTCTCATTAGAAAACGTCGTCGTACCCTCGTCGACGTTCTCGTCTCTAATGGGGGAGCAAAGGCCAAGGTTAAGCGGTGCTTCCTCCTCCGCCGACTCATTTTCAATCCCTTCGCCGTCACCTTCACCGTCCCCATCTCCATCTCCGGCGCCACGTCAGCACAACACGTTACTCGAACCATCTCACCAAAACAAGAGAAAAAGCAAGAAAGTCTTTCGAGTCTTCCGTTCCGTTTTCCGTTCATTCCCCATCATCACACCGGCGGCTTGCAAAATACCGGTACTCCCGGGCGGTAGCTTACCCGACCCGCACAGAAGCGGGTCCAACGGTTCAAAAGTTACCGGGACATTATTTGGATACCGTAAAGGACGTGTAAGCCTCTCTATTCAAGAAAGCCCTAGATGTTTACCATCTCTCGTCGTGGAGCTAGCTATGCAAACAATGGTGCTACAAAAAGAACTTAGCGGAGGGATGGTTAGGATCGCTTTAGAGACGGAGAAAAGAGCTGACAAGGAGAAGATCAAGATCATGGACGAGCCGTTATGGACAATGTTTTGTAACGGTAAGAAAACGGGGTACGGTGTGAAACGTGACGCGACGGAGGAAGATCTCAACGTTATGGAGTTGTTAAGACCGGTCTCGATGGGTGCAGGGGTTTTGCCAGGGAACTCTGAGGCTGAAGGACCTGACTCGGAGATGGCTTACATGAGGGCTTACTTCGAACGAGTCGTTGGGTCTAAAGATTCAGAGACGTTTTATATGTTGAGTCCCGAAGGGAATAATGGACCCGAACTTAGTATTTTCTTCGTAAGAGTATGATTTCTTGATGTAATAATGCGTTTCTTGATCGATCCCGGTTTGTGGATTGATATATGTGATTATATGATCATGATGATATTTGTGTATATTGCATGCATGGGTCGTTTTGGTGGTGAGGTATATGAGGATGGATTTGGAGGCTATATTATTCTTTAGGATGATTTATAAGAAAAGTGTTTCAGGTTAATACATTCAAATTCATGTTTGATATATATTTTTTTTTCTTTTATAAGTCGAGCAGATTTTTTACAAAAGAAGAGAATATAAAAGGATCTTTAGAATACCGTGCTCAAGGGGCTAGGGTTAGAGAGATATTGGGGAGTGCAGGAATGTCTTAAGTGAGCTTACCGTCAAATATGGTCTCTTCAGCTCAAGTAGTTGCAAATGTTGCAAATTTGTTGAACATAAGGGACACTGAACTAAGCAGTTTCCTAGTTGCAATGGGAGACATTTCGTTGAGGAAGACTGAAGTGGAGGAGAAGAAGGCTAAGGCAAAGATAGAGTCCAATGTTCTTCTTGATTATACGAGGAAAGCGATACAGAAGCTGACAAATTTAAAGAAACTCCTTGCTAAGCTAGAAGATGATGTAGTAGTCCCTTGTGAATCACTAAACACTAATGGAGAATTGGAAAACAAATATGGAAGTAATGGCAATCAAGGAGAAAGAGTACATAGAGAAGTATGAGGAATCTGAGATGAAATGGTCGAAACGTCAACATGATGCAAGCGAAATGTTACTCAACTACAATCCTAAGATGAGTCATAATGAGCTGGTAGAAATGGCAGGGCACAGAAAGGAATTGGAGAAGATGACAGGACCAGTTCTTGATGCTCTAAGAAGCTACCAGGACTTGCCTCCAGATAAAGCTTTGGCTGCATTAGCAATCAAAGACAAGAAAGACAGTTTGAAGCCGCGGAAAAGCTTCTAGAAGAAGTGTTACAATCAGCTCTTGAGACAAGCAATGAGTGATCAATATAAAACCCAAAAGTTATACCAATGTTCAAATTTTATTCTGGTGCTTATTTTTTTATATGAAAATTATGTCTGTTTTGTTTGTTAGAATATATATTATATAAAAAAAACTAAGCTAAAATTGAATTTAGTTCAAGTCATTAACTCTCTCAATTTTCATCCCACAGGCCACAGCCAAAATAACTTGTCCTGTTGGATCTCAACTCCAAGGGGAAAATTTTGGAGTCGGCCATTACTGTCATTGATCAAAAATGTTGGAAGCAATGGCACTACCCATTAATGCATCAGTAGTGTCAGGCTGCTTCACAAAAACATAGGTTTGTGATATTTTTTTTTCTCACTTTGATTCTTGTAATAACTTGTAACTCTATAACACCATCATGCATGTGTTCTAATTATTTATACATATTTCACAAACCTATGTATCGCTAGTTCAATAAGTTAAACATTTGTGTAAGACTCAAATACCTCCGGCTAGAATAGTAACATAAATGGTAACAACTTTGATGGGTTTCTTGTAGAATCTTGAAAGGTGCTATACATATATCATAAGGTCCGGTGATGTCCTCTTTGCACTAATGACTCACTCAAGCTTGAGGCTAAGTCACAACGAACTCTTCATTTTGGGCAATCATCATTCCAACTTGTGCTATAGTACAAATTGAAAGGTACTACTGTTTCAGTTTTTTTTCCTATGATTATTTGATCTTTTATCCTAAACCTAAACATATGATACAAAGAAGAGTCATATTAGCTTGGGTCAAAATGAATCTGGTTCATTCAGCTTCGAGTGGATAAAAGCTAAACGACATGTAGTTCAATTCAAACGTTGCCAAGGCCAGAACCAAAAGTTTGGTTTCACTTTCAGCTGAAAAGCAAGTGACTGAACCAAAACGGAGCCACGTCGAACAATATCTTGACACCTCACAAAAAACGACACGACGTGTTCACTTTAGCCACCATGTAAAGATTCCTCTTTTTTTCTCTTTTTCCCCCTCAAATTCTCACAAGAAAGATTCCTCGGAACTATCAATCATCAGAAACAGAAATGGCTATGGCTACTCGCGCGATTCGATACCAGTTACCGTATCTTCCGAGATCTGTGGTTACGAGATGCGAATCATCGGAACCATTTAAGCAGATCCAGATCCAGCAACGACCTAGAGGAGGCGATTTGGCCGAGAACGGTAAGATCGTTCTTCAACCAAGGCTCTGCACTTTGAGATCTTATGGATCTGATATGATCGTCGCTAAAAGAGACGGCGGAGATGGTGGAGGAGGAGGAGGTGGTTCTGATGTTGAGTTATCGTCTCCGTTTTTTGAGACGCTTACTGATTACATAGAGAGTTCCAAGAAAAGTCAGGACTTTGAAACCATCTCTGGAAGACTCGCCATGGTATTGTATATAAACCTTTGAAACTCTAAAAAAGTTCATAACTTTATATCGATTTCACTCTGTTTTACTCGTGAGTTTACTCTGTTTTCAGATTGTGTTTGCGGTGACTGTGACGGAGGAAATCGTTACGGGGAACTCATTGTTCAAGAAGCTTGATGTGGAAGGATTAAGTGAAGCTATTGGAGCTGGTCTTGGAGCCATGGGATGCGCTGCGATTTTCGCGTGGTTAACGATTTCTCGGAACAGAGTTGGACGGATCTTTACTGTCAGCTGCAACTCGTTCATTGACTCCTTGGTTGATCAGATCGTCGATGGGTTGTTCTACGACACTAAGCCTAGTGATTGGTCTGATGATCTTTGAATTTGATGAATTATAGATACCACTCCAAATGTATAATCTCTCTATCGTCTATAATACAGTAGTAGTAGTAGTACTATAGTTCTTGAAGTTCTTGAAGATGATATTGAAAGTCTTTGTAACTTTTGTGTCTATATATATATTATACAAGTTATGGAATATTTTTCTCTGATTCAATTTGTGTTCATGGAATTGGATAGATCAAAAGAGACAAAAGAGATTGTTCATTGTGTTTAGAGAAACCACATAGCTGTGAGTAGTCTAGGAAGCTGTCTCAATGGCTTGAATGCATTCAAGAACAGTTGCATTTTTGGACATTGCAGCCATTAGAGCTTCATGGATGGTCTTGTTGTTCTTTAGAAGAGATGCAGAGTAAAGAACCTGCATAACATAACAAAAGATTCATAAAATGGTTTAGAAAGAAACATGTATGAAAGGTGAAGATGGTTTTTGTTGGAGAGAAACTTACAGCCCATCTTGTTAGATTTTGCTGCTGCGCGTTGGTGATTTTGGGTTGGCTCCTGTTTATAAATCTCTGAAAGAGACAAGAAAAGAAGTTATAGTAAATAAAACTATCAAGTGGACATGTGAGTGATGAGAAAGAAAAAAATGACTAGAGGACCTGAAGAGAGAAGAGATCTGCAGATTGGCCGATCACTTTGTCATATTTCAGACCCTCAGCCGCAAGTCCAGCCATTGCAACAGCAGCCAACCTGAGAACCCGACGAAGATTCAAAGCGTTGAGATTGATATATGATTCTTCTTTCTCTTTTACGACGTTAACTAAGGCTGTTAATTCTACCTGTCAAGCTCCTTTGAGTCAAGCTGGCCACTGTATATTAGTTTAGCTAGTCTCTCGTCGATGAGATTGACGTGTTCTTTACCAATGTCTAATGAATACCCGAGGATCGGAAGTCCGATTAAGTAAGCCACTGGAAGTTGCAGGTTTTAAACATGAGAACATTTCATCTTTAGAACCAAAAGATTTAAACTTTTCAAGGGTACCTAAGAAGTGGGCTGCTTCATGTGCAGCAATTCGTTCTTGGTAATCAGGAAAGAAAGTAGAAAACCCGGAAATCGCAGCTTGGAGAAGTCTACAAACAAAACAGCAAAAATATATCAAATCTGTAGCCAGAGTACAATATGTTAACGAAAACAGAACATTATATGCAGTGTTTAAGTTTTTTTCTTACCCTGGTGAAACGCTTCCCACGGCTAAAACTACCAACGAAATGCTGCCAACTAAGTAAGGCACAAAGAATCCCCAGTCCTGTCCAGATTCAACAGTTACACATCTGTCTAAGACACATATAGAACCTAACACAATCGACAGAAACTGAGAAATTTTCATGGTTTTTGATATGGTATATACATGGTCCATTAGATTTAAACTTGGTAAAGCCTACACAATTGTCCAAAAGAAAGGACAGGGGACTAGAAATGAGACAAGAGGCGACGTAAGAATGCAAAACATATTCTGTCCAGATGATTCCATGGCTAACATATCCAGGCCAAAGGTTATTCATGGCTTGTATAAAATTGAGTTTTTGAAAGTTTACCCCAGGAAGTTGGCCTGCAAGCACAGCTATGAACCCGGTTGATCCGACTACTGTGAAAAGAAAAGCCGCCTGCATTACTCAAACTCAAGCAAAATAATAATTAAGATGCACTGTAACCTCAAGAACCCTCTGAGTTCATTTCTTTCCAAAGAGTAAACATTCTAATACCAAGATAGAGCCTTACATCGTTCCTGACACTAGGGATGGCCAGAGTCTCCGCATTCTTGATTCCAAGATTTGTCAGCTCCCGCAGTGATGTCTGATACAGCAAAACACATCACTTCTACACTCCTACTTACTAAGTCTAAACGTTTAACAAATAGTAAAAGACTAAGAGTAAGCTTAGATAGAGAGATCGATATACACCGTACGGCGCGAAAGGTAAGGCTGAGAGCTCCATTTCTTAGCCCAACCTTCTTCACTCAATTTATCAAGAGCTTCCTTAACACCATTACTATCTTTCTGCAGCCAGACATGAACCCAATTTCAAAATCACACTTTAAACAGATTTCATATCGAATCAAAAGTAAAGCTTGTGCCTTGTGGTAAATACAGAAATGGACCTTATTAATGGCGGATTCAAGAGTACTAAAATCAAACCCAGATGAAGCAGTAGGAGAAGAAGGCGAAACCGCTGCTTGAATCAGAGGGTTTCGTTGCCGGAAACTAAAATGCCGGTGAAACGAAGCAATCGGAGTATTATTCCCCAACGAAGAAACAGCTAATGAAATCATAATTCTTCAGAAAAATTCGATTTTTAGCAAACCCAGAATCAGATAATGCTAATTGTTACATCGTCTTCTTCTTCTGCTTCTCCCAATTGGAAACGGCGGACGAAGGGAAGACGAGGAAGCGCGTGGCGTCTTTCAAACCACCGGTTCATGCTTTCCGCCACGTCAGCACTTATAGATAACGGCCAAATTTATCGGTTTACTAGTTCCGGTTTATTTTCTCAATTCAAACCGAACCGACTAATACAACACTAGTTTTATCACTCTAAGAAAATCAAACTGATGAAATCGGATCCATGGCGGCTACAACGACCTCCGGCGACGTACCACCGGAAACACAAGCGCCGGCGCAATTGATTCCGTTGTTACCAGACGACGTTGCTCTGAATTGTCTTGCGCGCATCACTAGATGTCACCATCCATTTCTCTCACTCGTCTCCAAGACTTTCCGATCTCTCCCCACATCGCCTTTGCTCTACGCGACGAGATCTCTCGTCGGAGCTACTGAAAACCTACTCTATGTTGCAATCCGTTTACCTCCTGAGTCTGGTGCGTGTTGGTTCACTCTAATCCATCGAACCTTATCAAGCTCAACGAATTCGAGTATGCTTGTTCCAATCCCGTCTTGTCCTTCACCGTCTCTTGTTGGATCCGCTTACGTCGTTGTGGATTCGGAGATTTACGTAATCGGTGGATCTATAAGAGACGTGCCTTCTTCGAGCGTGTGGGTTCTTGATTGCAGATTCCATACTTGGCGACGAGTCTCAAATATGAGAGTAGGTCGTGAATTTGCAGCAGCTGGTATAATTGATGGGAAGATTTATGTGATTGGAGGATGTGTTGTTGATAATTGGGCTCGATCGATTAATTGGGCAGAGATGTTTGATATAAAGACTCAAACTTGGGAGCCAGTAGCTAGTCCAGGTATGGAGGTGCGTGAGAAATGGATGCACGCAAGTGCTGTAATGGAAGGGAAGGTTTACGCAATGGCTGATAGGAACGGTGTTGTTTACGAGCCCAAGGAAAAGAAATGGGGTGTGCCAGAGAAGAGGCTTGATTTGGGATGGAGAGGAAGAGCTTGTGTGATTGACAACATATTGTATTGCTATGATTACTTGGGGAAGATTAGAGGGTATGATCCAAAAGAGAGGGTCTGGAGAGGGCTGCAAGGTGTGGAATCACTTCCAAATTTTCTTTGTGGGGCTACAATGGCGAATCGTGGTGGAAAGCTTGTGGTGTTGTGGGAAGGTAAAGCGGGTAGTGGCAGTTCTAGGAGAATGGAGATTTGGTGTGCAGAGATTGATGTTGAAAGGCGCGGAGAAGACGAGATTTGGGGGAAGATCGATTGGTCTGGTACTGTCCTTACGGTTCCTAATGAATCTGCTATTGTGAATTGCTTGGCAGCTACAGTTTGATGATGATGCATACAGGTTTGACGTCTCTGAACCAACATCATCTACCATGCTCTACCGCACAGGCCTGCTTTTGATTCAGTATGGTTAGTTCTGTTATGTTTGTGTGTGAGTAGCTATTATTGTGATAAGCATAGTGATTTACACGGCCTCGCCGGAAAATGGTGGATCAACAAAGAATATTCCTTGGCCTGAGTCCCTGAGCTAATATGAAACAACTCACCGATGTAATGGAGTTTATAAATTTACTTCTGAACTTTTGAGGGTTAAAACAGCCCTCTTCTGCATGTTGTTGCCTCATTTCTTTTGTTGTATTCCATGAGAAAGCTACTTTCAGATTTCAATAATACCAGTAAAAACTGTGTCCGTACACTTTACTTGTTCCTGGCTCATCTTAACAAAATGAATACGGCCCTTTTATTTTTGTTCAAGGAAAAGAGAAGAAAAATGATACTGAAACAAAAAAAAGGAGTATATCATTAAGTTATATATACATGTGTTGCATCTTCTTTAAATAAAGCTTTGTTCCACTCAAAATTGACTTGTGTAAGCTCCAATGACCCAGAACCAGTAACTAAAGGTCTTCTCTGTCTCTGAACTTTCTCAATGGCCTGGTGATGATTGTTCCATTCTGTTGAACGAATGTATAAATGCAGAGACAGAGAAATGGAGGCTGGGAAATTAGAGGTCGCCGTCAGGGATCTCCATAGTTTCTTCATTCTCTAGATAGCTCAGAACTTGCTCAAAGGCCTAATGATGAGTGATTTGCTTTGTTTAGTTTGATTTGAACAGATTAATGATAAAGCAACAGTGAAGGACCTGACTTACCTCGATGGCGATTTCAGTTGGGGTGAGATCTGAGACATCTTTATAGCCACGCTTGGCTGCAATATCTGATGATTAGAGTACAAGGAAGGAAAGCCAAATTACTAGCAGAAATTGCATGATAGAGTCTCTAAGTATATATATGTTGAAGGTTATGGCAGATGGATGAAGAAGTCATACTTTCTAAGGAGACTCTGGCATTTGCGTTTGTGTATGCTTCACCACGGTCATCCCAGATAGTCGAAAGACGTTTGAAAGCCTACATGTAATTCATTCATGATAACAAACACCCCAGAAAAAAGATGAATTGTTTTGTTAACCAGTAAAGGCTTATGATTCAGATCAGTACCACTGTGTAAGCATCTCCTGACTCATCGTGTAACAATGGTCGTGAATTAGTTCCAACAGCAGCGATTCTATGGGCTAAGGCTTCTAGAGGTACATCTAGCCAAATGCTGATTCCTTTATGCATATACTTCCTGATTATATCATAAGTGTACCAAATTAATTTAACAAAGAACTGAGTTTCGTAATTTTTTATTTCGGAAGGGATGAAGAAAACACACCAGTTAATGGGTCTTATCACTGCACCTCCACCAGTGGAAACAACAACTTGATGCATCGATGAGACCTTCTTTAGTGCATCCGTCTACAAAGAAAGAAAATTTAGCTCGGATCATGTATAATGAATGAATCGCACCAAACAAAGAGTGGGCAAAAATGAAGAGCTTGGAATAAGGATAACACAACAAACCTCCTTTCCTCTAAAGAAACTCTCTCCATGATGCTCAAATATCTTTGCTACAGAAGTTCCATCCATCGCCTGCTCAATCAAAGTGTCGCTGACACATCCAGAAAACTTGTAAAAGGTTACACATGTAGATTATCAACCTCCTTCATAAGTGATTCCAAATCAACAAATTTTCCAGGAGACTATCATCGAGGATTTTAAAACAATATAAAGCTTTTCTTCAGTAGCATATGCATACCAGTCTAAGAAGGAATAACCAAGCACTTTGGACATTAACTTTCCCACGGTTGTTTTCCCGGAACCCATCATCCCTATTTATCATGGAATCATCAAATTACAAACAGGTATCGAAAAGTAACCATATGCAATTGGAACCGAAGAGCAGACTATGAAACTAACCAACAAGGTACATCGATCGTCCATTCAAATACGGTTTAACCTCTTCTGCTTTTCTCTGCAAAGCTCATGTACAGTGTCCAGTAAGATTTTATAGAAGACAAATAAATCTAACACATTTCACTAGAGTATCATTACTTGCCTTGAGAATTAGATCTTCATCAAATGGATAAACACTTCCAGTCTCCAACAATGCTACAAAAACCCCAAAACCAAAATCAGACTTCCTTCAACAAACACTAGAAGTTGCAGAATTTGTAAAATGCTTTCACAACAACCTGAAGAGTTATTAGCAGAACATGAAACCCCCTCTGAAGAAACTGATCTGTTTCTTCTTCCAGGTTCCAAATGAGCCAAAGCAAGACCTCTGAACCTTTTCTCTTCCTTAACTCGCTGAGAATACCGCAATGAACCACGAGGCGGCTTCCCCCTAAACTCTCTCAAATCAACCCATGATGGGTACTGAAACCTTTGAGCAATAACTGCTTCCATTTCAGACAATCTTCAATACACAAACTATTCAAAAACCCCTGCAAATCAATTCTAACTAGATTCAGCTTTCTTTTGCAACAGACAAAAACCTAAAAGACAAGACTTTGGCCATAATTAAGAGCTGTGAGACGTCCAATTTGTTGTCAACACATCAACCACATCAAACCCTCACCGAAAAAAATCGAAAGTCGATAACTTTATTCAAAGTTCAGAAATTTGACAGGATCCTCCATCAAATGAGGAATTTAGAAATTGGCAAAATCAATGAAAGAAACAGAAAGAGAATGATTATTCAATGAGAGTATAACTGAAAGATTCGAACTTTTCAGAAAAAAAGAATGATAATGATTATCCAAATCAAAATTTGGGGTAAGGAATTTTAAAAAATTGACACTTTCCTGACAAAAACAAAGAAAAAAACACATATAAAAAAGACAGAACTAAATTAGCGCTAAGAAACTCCATTAAAGGATAACAAGATTACCACCACCAATAGAAACAAGAAGTATGAACACAGATTCAGAAAATGAGTTTTTTTCACCTGAATCTTTCTCCCGCCGGCGGATGAGGCGACTAATTTATTTTTGGGTTGGTCTGGTAAATTAATAGAGAGAGTGGACAAAACAAAAGGGGGTTGGTGAAGCTGAAACAGTGATGGCCTTTAAGCGTCTCATTAGTTAGTTTTGTTTTAAACCGGTCCATTAAATAAAAACACAATTCTTAATCATCATTATTAAGCCCAAAGACATCATATATATAAAAGTAAGGTTTCACTCTCTCCTTATTGGTGGAAAAACATTTAAGCCATTCATTTAAAAAACATATATATATAAGTAAATGTTAATGACAATCATTCAATACAAAATTTAATTACACCATAAGTTATAAACAAATGACAAAGAAAATGAAAGGAGTTAATTATCATATATATAAAAGTAAGGTTCCACTCTCTCCTTATTGGTGGAAAAATATTTAAGCCTTTAATTTTTAAAAAATAAATAAATAAATAAATGTTTATGACAATCATTTAATTTAATTACACTATAAGTTATAATCAAATGAAAGGACTTAATCATATATCTTTCAACAAAATAAATAAATAAATAATTATTTATGACAATCCTTCAATACAAAATTTAATTACACTATAAGTTATAATCAAATGGCAAAGAAAATGAAAGGACTTAATCATATATCATACAAAAAATTTTATAAGCCTTATTGGTGGAAAATTATTTTAAATCATATATATAAAAGTAAGGTTTCACTCTCTTTATTGTTCCATTTTGTATTTATTTTTAAAAATATATAATATTTATTTTTAACCAAAAAAACACATTTAATCATATAAATTAATTCATACTTTAAATTCACATTTTACTACTAAAATGAAACTGAAAATTATATAAATTTCCAAAGAATATTGGTTTTCTTTATTGAATTCCAATTAAACACACTATAAATTAGAATTATAACTCCTCTAATTTAATTATTTCAAAAATGTAACTTACATCACTTCTTATCATATAAATAGCCATTCTCACATCCTTCTCTGCCATATCTCATATCTTCATTATTCTCTTTGTTTTTTTTTTAAAGTTCTTGCATGGGGTGAAAACTCATTTAAAATATCATTGTAAGAGTTTGATTAATTATTTAGTTTAACCTTTTGTTTTCAATTTTATTTATTTTTTGTTTTTATGTATTTCTTTATGTCTTCATTGTTTTTTTATATTTTTAAATGTAATACATATGTCTAATAATATTTTATGGTTATAAGAAAATCAAGCTAAAGAAACCATCTTCATTATTTTACTTTGGATGTTTGTTTCTTTCTCACATATTCATCTATATTTATTTTATTTTCAAAAGTATGTAATTTTTTAACAAAATAAACTTTTTGTTATATAATTATCAAACCAATTTGTAAGACATTCTTTTAAGAATAATGATCCTTATATTTAGTTTGTGATTCAACATGTAATAATACAAAGAACATTATAATTTGTGTTAACTTTGAATTTTATAATTGATTTCCTATCTAAAAACAATTTGATATTCCATTTTCTATCTATTATATATACTACAAGGATGAAAAAT